GCACAGCGAGGTCAGGAGCTTGGCTGCTCCACCCTCTGCCCACATTTCCGTGGAAACTGCGAACAGCAGGTATGTTTCCTGTTTCGGTGACACACACACTGGCCTCTCACACACACACTGGCCTCTCACACACACACACACCCGGGCCCCCGGCGTTTACCTGTGTGACGAGCTGATCCCGAGTCAGCGAGTTGATCCAGCGGGTGTAGCGCTCGGTGGATCCCTCCGGCAGCCTCCGGAGCCGGCAGCCAATCAACTGGTGGGGAAAACACGGCGGAGGAAATTCTGAGCGTAGGAAACACGTTTGTTTTTGTCTTCTGTGCGTTTAGCTGGCCGCAAAAAGAGATTTCAGTTGGAAGCCTTTATAATAAACGTCTGGGATGAAGTTGAACATTCAAAAAACCTCCACTTGATCAGATGAAGAGTGAATTTCTCTGTAATATTTGACTTTAATTAATAAAGACAGTCGATATTAGTTTAAGGTCAAACCACTTCTGAGCGTAGGAAACACGTTTGTTTTTGCTTCTGTGTGTTTAGCTGGCCGAAAAAAGAGATTTCAGTTGGAAGCCTTTATAATAAATGTCTGGGATGAAGTTGAACATTCAAAAAACCTCCACTTGATCAGATGAAGAGTGAATTTCTCTGTAATATTTGAGCAATTAATAAAGACAGTCGATATTAGTTTAATCTCAAACCACTTCTGAAAGGCAGAAGAAACATCTTCATGAACAAAGATTGTGTGTTTGTGACTGGCTTTCCAGCTGTCCACATCTGGCTAATCCTGAAAATGTATGTAGCATCATGAACCAGAAAATACAGCAACAACAGCCTGTCTAGCACCCAAATCAAAAGGCAAATTTCCTCTTAAACGTCAAATAACTCCTCTTCTTAATACACAATTTTTAAAAAATGTAAGACTGTTCAACATGAAATGAATAACAAAAGTGTGGGGGGGGTCGCCTCTTTTTGTCAGAAGCATAAAATATCAAAAGGGGGTGTTGTTTATGCAGGGCGGCAAGCCTGCTGTCTCCACACAGTCTTTCTCATTTCCCCCTCACACACACAACCTTCAACCTCTGACCCGGCACGCCAAAGAAAGCATCAACACCGGATACGTGCTGCGTGCCAGCTGAATGCACGCGCACACACACACACACACACACACACACACACACACACATACACACACACAGTCACACAACTAACACAAAAACCTTTTTTTTTTGTTGTTTGCGAGAGAGTGAGAACGGGAAGGAAAAGAAGGAGAAGTGAGGAGAAGAGGAGGGGCGCAAAAAAGGGGGGGGGGGGGGAAGGGGGGGGGGGGGAAAAAGGGGGGGGGGGGGGGATGAGGGCAGTGTGCAAAAGAAAGGGAAGGAAAGTGAGGAAGCAAACGACTGCTGGAGAGAGAGAGAGCTTACGGAGTTTTGGTGGCGGACGGATTGGTCGTACTGCAGACGGACCCTTTGGGGCATCATGATGTCATCCTGAAGATAAGACAAAGAAATATTCAGAGGCTCCACTTTCTTATAAGTAAATCAATAAATTCAATGCATAACTCAGTTGACACTTAATGTGCACTGATTGAAAAAAGTTTACAATAAAGTCAAGGTTATCACCATTTTAGTATTTTCATCATTCAGAGGACGTTAACTACTTTGAGGGACATAGCCGGCTATTAAATGAAGAGAAAATTAATCTTACATTTCCTTTGGGATTCATAAAGTATCCATTAATTCATTCAAACGGCCAGTTGAATATAAAGGAAACATTTGGGGGCTTAAGAGGTACATAAGCATTAAAACTGTGAGATAAGCTGCTAAAAACATGAATCTTTGAGGTGGCGATCAGCCCCTCTGTGGCTTTGAGCCTTCACGTGCATCCAGAGAGTCTGAACCACACCAGCTGTCCGATGAGGACAGACGAAAACCGTCTGGATACCGTCGGCGTGTATCCACCGCAGCCCTCGGCTCGCCGCGCCTCCTCTGACCGTTCTGTCACACGGCCGCTCGGCTCTATCGGAGCCCCGCTACACAACACGCAAATGCCAACGTCTGTTTTAGGGGGAACAGGGGAGGGAAACACACTTACCGCGTCCTGGAAGCACAAGTACTGCCCACAACTCTGGGACACCGCCTTATTCTTTGCGTATCCCACTGAAAGACAAAAGAGATGTTTGAACCTGGTTGTGGTTTCTTTTTAAATAAATTGTCTGAAAAAAAAACTGAAGGAATAATAAATATTTAGCAAAAAGTTAGGAGGCCAGGAGATCCAGGCCAGAGCTATTTGGCCAGATGAGACAAAATAATTGTCTTTATTGACACTGCACAGATTCAGGAGCAGCAGGATGATGTCAACAAAAGGGTGCAAAGTCGAGCTCCCGGTCAGCTTTGATAGGTGGTGGAAAATGTGGGAGCACAAAAAATTTTTTGAGCACAACCCAGCTGTTTTCCACACAGCTGAATGAGGACGACTACGAAACCGAAGCGATCTCTAATGTTTGTGACGGGATGCCGTGGCAGGACTGGTCGGGTTCTGGGGGGGTGAACATGAGCCACAGACAGCACTCTCAGTTTCAGGAAGCACCACAAAAAGAGGGCAGGAAGAGCCAAAGTTCCAGGCAATTCTTCGTGCCGGGGTTTTCGTTTCACTTTACGTTGGTCTCTGGTCGGTTTTCCATCACCTCTGTATTTACGGCACCACTGCAGAATGAATCTCTGCTCTTTGGCTTCAAACTAGCGTGGAACGATTTTATTAAGAACACGTAAAAGCCAATTTGTGCCTCAATTCAAAACATAGCATTTCCTCAAACTGCTGCAAATTTACGAAATTTCATTTCATCAGTGGAGAAAATGTGCTTCTTCTTCTGCTTTTCGAGCTGCCGGTCTGTCCCCCTCTAACCCAAACAGCTCTGACCGCTGCCCTCTGAAGGTTAGGTCATAGAAAGGCTGAAGTAGAACAGAACACGACTGAACACGGGTTCTGAGGTGAGTTTGGGTCTACGGAGAGGAAAAGCCCCTCGATAGAAACAGTCCACTGACCTCCTCTGGGTTGGGAAGAGCTGTGACCCCCAATCACCACTGCAATGCCCCTCGCCTCCATCCTCTCCGTCCATCCCTCCACCACTTTCTTGGAGTCATCCTGAACGAAAGCGAGAATCAAATGTGCTGGGTGTTGCTCTCTGAGATAAACTTCCTGTTTGTATTTGTGACGCCGTACGGACGGCAGACGTACTGTGCTGGCATCATCAAACACCAACAGCTCCATGGACCCAGCAAAGTCCTGCTCTGATATGGCCCGCAGACACTCGTCCAGCCAGCGCCCGGCGTTGTACACGGGCATGATGATGCTCTGAGTGGACAGGAAACAGAACGTCCTCAGACTACATGCCCAGTTAAAGGTTGATTTTTGAGTTCAGGTGAAGGAATTTCTGCACAATCAAATAAACATAAAAAGAAGTGAATGAATCCATTCACAGAGCATCTGAATCCATTTATAGTTGGTCGAGAGCATGTGTGGATGTATGTGAAGGAGAGATTTGATTTCAACAGCATCATCAGGGGGGTTTAGTTTAAATGAAAAGCTCAACTTTGTTTGACTTTAGTTGGACTAACACATTTACAGACATTTGTGAAGCCCAGTTTAGGCCGAACAAGGAATATTCCACTAGATTTCTAAACATCTTTCGATCAGGCAAATACAGTTGCACCCTGGAGGATTAGTGAAATGTGTACAAGTGGCTGACTTAAAAATGAGAACAAGTCAAAGTGACACTTTGGAAAAAAAGATGCAAAAAATGTTCAATGCTATAACATCAATTAACACATCATCATCTCACACGACTATGGAAAAAATAAGAATAGGCTTTCGAAGCGTATTGTAATCCCATTTATTGTGAATTGAGGGTATAATATACAAGAAATCAAACACATTAAGAAAAGGACCGAGTCTCAATGTAGAATTAAGTGGGAATAACACGTCTACGCGTCGTCTTAGGCTCACAACTGATCTGCCAGTAAATGTAGCTGCCAAACTACAGCTGTATACTGTGTGCTTAAACAACCCTGTGAGCAGAGATACAAGCTAAACACTTCCTCTTGTTATTATTCTGTCGCTCGTCACGGTGACCCACCACATCCGTAGGGGTCCTCTCCGCTTCCGGCTCCTCTCCTCCAGCCCCTGTTCGGAGCCGCTTCGGTGGGTTTGGGTCCATTTCTGACCCCCTGACCCTAACCCTAAACCCGGTTGCTTCAGAACCAGCCAGTCAAATATAACGAGAAGAACGGGAAAGCACGAAGGAGGTAACGAAAGTTACCGGCTGCTGTCGATGAATGGGCCACGCGGTCAACACGTGAATCAAAGAGTCAAATTGTGACATTTCTCAAAATAAATCGGTCCGAAACAACAAAAGGCATAATTTACAACTTATTCTGGGGGGTTTTCTGGACGTGGATGTGCCAGTTCTTCTAAGACTGACGCCTAAACGTGCACTGCTATCAACTTCCGCAAATATTGAATCCAGGACGCCGATTGGCTCGTACGAAACACGGACCGACACCTGATTCGTTCCCTTTGATGTCAATCTTTGTATATAGTGACGTGTACAGCTTCTGGGCGTTTAATAATTTGACGAAGACTAAGAAAACATGATTATTTTACCTTTGTATGTGTTTAAAGATGTTATGAAGGGTAACCTTGACCTTGTGTTTAAAAGTTTGTGGTTCTGCTTCGGTTCACCTTGAATTTAGTCATTTTATTTGTTTACGTGATTTATTATTTCTTTCAAATCACCTCTGACTGCATGGATTGGAGTCTTGAACTAGCTGTTTTAATAATTGAATATTGCTATTTGAACCACATTTCTCATATAAGTTATAATTTGATATCTAATAAAAGTGTCTTATTATGAAATTATGCTAAATGAAGAGTATCCTTAACATTAAGAGTGTTACAACATGTAAAAAACAAACAAACAAACAAAAATCATGTGTATTTTTTCAGGAAAGTTTAATTACACCAGTCCTGAATGTAATCTTCCGTGCCCCTTATGTACTGTGCTTTCATTCATATTTTCATATTGGCCATTTGTATTTTTTTTTACATAAAAAAGCTAGTTAAACTCTGACAGCATTGGCATTTCATTTGTTATAAAATAGGTTGTGATATATGATGATGATTTTAATCTGGATGTTCAGAACTATCTGCTGATGGCGAGCCGCTCTGCTAAAGTCATTGATGTATTTTCAAAAATATTTTGAAGTCTGAAAAATTGGCTGAAAGCTCACCGAGGAAAACAGTGGTCTCTGTATTATTTGGACAGACTTGGAAATGATGACATGTAACAATAAAGTTCTCTCTAGCTTTCCTGTGCTGTTGAATGGGGACCAGATCGGTGTGTTTTTATGTTAATGTTGGCAGCGGCAGCCTGGGAGGTTTGTCTTGGTGAGCAGACAGAAAAACAGGATGGGCTGAAATATTGTTCAGGACTGTCGTTCTCATTTTTTAACCGAAGCAGAACCACGAGAGACTTATATGCGAGGGCTGTTTATAAAGATGTGAGTCGGGAAATGAAATGATCTGTCCTGAATCAAGAAAAATCCAAATATTTGTAAGGACCACACCCCCTCCAAGACTGTGGTTAATTTTTGTGTTTTTCATCATCAGAAAAAAAGCACTAGGTCCTTAGATTTTGTGCAACGAATTTCTAGAAACGTCAATGGCCTTTTGGCTAATATCTCCATAAACACACAAGCACATACTGTACAATCCTTAATCAAAACCTTGCAAAACAGATCTTGGAAGCTGCTTTGAGTGATTACACAGCATCTGCATGTGTGCACATTGGCATCAGGCCTCCAGCAGCCTAATTGTTCCCACATTGTTGCAGCACATCGGTCAGCCTATGATTAATTTATTTCTCCAATACTTTTAATTGGATAAGTGCCCTGCTGAAGGCCAGGAACAACAGCTCTGGCTGGGTCGGTGGTGGTGGTGGAGCGGGGGGGGGGGATCATGCTTGAGTACATGATGAGTGAAATCCGGAACGTATTTGGTCTTTTTTCTGCAGATGCACTGTCGAAAAAGAACCCGGAAATGAGTGTTTTGGCACTGTAAAATGTGCCAGGTCTTAATTCCTGACTAATATAGATGGATAGCTGATGGCAGCCATGCACAATTAAGCAACTGACAATTACATTGTTCAGATGTTTCCATCTTAGAGGTTCAGATTCAGGTTAAGAGTCCAAACGGAGCATGCGTCTTCATTTGCTTGCGCTGCAGGTTCACACGGTCTCTAATGATTTCATGGGCACTTTGCAGTAGAAACTTGTCTTCACTCACTACCACAACTGTTCCCACAATAACTCAGGGCTGCCTGTTTATGTCCCGTCATCTGCCAAATCAACACCACATGGCAAGGTTGCATAGCAAGTGTGCACGCCAGTGGATTCGCTGCACGAGGAGGTCGAGACTGCAGCTGTTTAGATCTGGGATCAGACTTTGCTCAATTATATTTGGGCAGAAATGTCGCAAATGAAGGGGAATATAAGCGTGCAAGTGTGTCGGGACATGATTGGATTTCCTTGAATCACTTCATTTTGCTCTGGGAATACAATATTTATTTTATACGTAGTGACTTTAGCCACAAACAGCAGCATCACATTTAACGCATGTAGATGAAATGCTGTGTGAACAGTCCTCAACTCTTCTTTTTCTTTAATCATCTAAATAAACATATTCTTTTCTCATTATCAGCAAAAAACTGCAACGTATGGAAGCACTTAACATTTTACGACAAACTGCCTGATACATTGATTTAAATCCTTTTTAAACAATGCTAAATGTTGCATTACAAAGTGTTTGGCTGGATAATCTATCTATACAGAGCCTGTTGTTGAGTAACCATGAGACTCATTATTGTATTTTCGTGTGGAATTTGTGTCTAATCTATTTCAAGGCCTTCAGTGTATTGACTTGACTTGACATGACCATGAAGGTAATTGTATCACTGTCGATTCCCAAGTGTGAAACCTTAAATAGCAGGAAAGAAGTGCAGTTGTGTGCTACCCAGGACGTTCAACATGGTGTATACTGCCATCTAGTGGTCAAATAGAGTGTGCAGCATTTCCTTTTTTTTTGTGGTTGTCATGGACAGCTGCAAAAAAAACTGTTTATTAAAGTGGTGATTATACTTGATTACCTCTCATTTAGGAAACCAAGTGGGAATTTATATTTATGGCCTAGTTATTAACATGTAGGACTGGTAAAGAAGAAACACTTGAGAGTTTGACTCATTGATTGATGAAGGTTAGAGGAGGTATTATTCTCCCTTGCTGGGCCACAGCTGGACCCTCTGTGGCCTGCATGCCAGTGAGGACTCCTGATGAATGGCACATTCATCAACCTGCCGCAGAGACCCTTTTCTCACACCGAGTGCCCAAAGAACACAGTGGGAGCCGTGCTTATGGGATTTATCCGGTACTTTCAACACAATTCATTCGTATCGGCTTTGGGCGGAAGCCGGTGGGGAGTGGACCATAGACGGTCCGGCCAAAAACACCGCGGTGTGTGAGGCTCCCTGGCTGTGTGTCTGATGCACTCCTCCGGGTACAGTGCCATCTCCTTTTCACTACACATCAGATTTCAGCTATGACGCAAACAGCTGTCTTCTTTAGAAGCGCCCAAATGAGGCAGACGTTGTTGAATGGTTACCACGGGAGAGTAAACTTGGATGAATTTCTGACTTTGTCAGCTGGTGGGCTCTTAAAAATCTGTCAAGACCTACATGACAAATGACGTGCATAAAACATCTCACCTTTTTGAAAGTATCTCTACCAATTCATATATTATAAAATCACTAAATAAATAAATAGTTCCATGATTCCCACATATTTTGCATTGATTACCCATCAGTAGTGAAACAAATGGAGAATCTTTTCAGTATTTCTGGTCCAAAAACAGTTTAGTTTTGTACAGTAAACTAAACGTCATGTCCTTATTAGATTGTTTTTACTGAGATTTTGTATTAATTTCATGCAAAGTACTTTGAATTACTTAGCTGTTGAAGGTGGTGGTTGGAGATTACAAATATCTATGCGTTAATTTCCACATGAGACAATTTCAGGGACAGACTTCAGCCACCAAGCTGAACTGTTGTTATAAAGCACTGGTTTGCCAATTCAGTCTCTAAATATATATAATATCTTTATCATTAAAATGGACTTGTATTCATCTGAATGTAACATTATTTTCCCCTTTGTTACACATATCAATAGATCACATTCTAAATACAAAGTATTGCTTATATGATTACAATGTTTTTCTTTCATTGTAGCCTGCCTTGACTGTATTTAGTTTTTTTTCAAAGCATGCTCATGCATTTTTGCTTCACAATATAGTAGTATGACATTCACTTGACATACTAAATATATAACTTTAAAAAAATATATTATTTATCTGAAATCAGAGCATTGTTTTTCCACATCCCACTGTACTAAACTCTCAGTAAATGAACAGGACACAGTGGCATGATGACACATATCTTCACTGCAAAGACCAAACCAATTTCTCTGACTCCAGAATCAAAGAAAATCTCTAATGCAAACACCATCCATTTATTGGTATAATGCATCATAATACAGCAATATAATTCTATTAAATACATATGTACTAAGCCCGTGTGTAGGTATAGGCAGGCATTTCACATTCATGTCCGGGTTCAGTGCAGTGATGAAGCATCAAGTCATCTGATTTAGATCTCAGAACACCACAGAAGCGAGTGAGGAGTTCAGTTAGCAACATCTGTAGTCCCTTCACCCATTTTTCCCATCTCCCTCTGTCCCGACTGTTGTGGGAAATGCATCACGGGTCGGATGAGGACACAGGCATGAGGGTCCGACTGGGTACAATCAAAGCTCAGAGTAGGTCCAGACTTAAACAGTAAAATCCACCGCGGGCTGCTTTAGTCCAGCATTAAATCCACCCTGATCACATTTAGGTCACTCACCTCGAAAGAAATGCAACTTAACTCATTTGGAACCAGATGCTATTGAGCTCGCAGGGTAACAAGGCAATGCATACATTACATCATCAGGTACATGTAGGAAGAAGTCGATTAGTTCACGAGTAGTGCTCTGTGCTTTCTTGAATCTGACAGTGTCGGCCCTTCTTCGGATAAAGAAAGCCCAAGTACCGTTTGACTCCTTAAAAAAAAAGATTATTTGAGGAACTGCATCACTGGTGATCAGAATAATAACTTAGTGTGGAGTCACGGGGGTGGGAGGCATTCATGCTCTTGTCGGTGAAGCAGCAGAAAGGATCCCGGTGAACCTTGTTGGATATTCATCGAAGTATGTGGCTTTTCTCAGTCGTCAAAGGGAACAGCTCTGTGGTCGAAGGGGTGCTTGGAGCTGTCTCTGCTGATAGGGGGGGAAAAGGCATCGAAGAGTCTGTTTAGATTCATCCTTTCAGTTTGGTGGCGTGGAGATGTTTGTGTCTGTGCATTCTGAACTTTGCCTGAGAGAATGTTTTCTGTGTGTGCGTGAGTTGTGAGCGTTTTCATATATAGCAGCTGATGTGTCCTTAGAAAGACACAAGTAGTTCCTATCCATGTTTTCACCACTTCAGTTGTGCACAACGACATCAGACCAGGATCCGATTCAAGCCCGATCCAACCGGTCTCAGTATAAAGGGGCATAGTTGAATCCGAAACGGGTCCATTGTGTCAACTCTCTCTCTGTGCAGACCAGAGGGAGAAGGATGCGGCCCTCTCAGAGGAAGGGGTTGTGGCTGTGCGCCTGTGTTTGAGTGCGAGGGGCCGGCCGCGGAGAGAGAGGAAGCAGGGGCTGGGGGAGGTTTGAGGGAAGGTCCAGGAGTCCGGCGGGAGGCTGCGTGAGGGACGAGGGGAGCACGGGCGGCTGGTGGAGCAGAGGGAGGGGCAGCGACGGGCTGTAAGACAACATGTGGGGGGGCAGCGGGGAGGTGGAGGACGGTCGCATTTGGTTGAGGGTGAGACGCGGCTGGTCGCAGTGGAATGGATTGGTGGGAGAGGGCGCACTCAGACCTGTGGAGAAAGAGTTTTGGAATTTGGAAAACACACGAATAACAACGTCCCCGTGATGTTTGTTTTAGCAGTTGATTGAATTGCTGAATAGTCATGCATTACCTGAGAGGAACGGGTTGTTGTTTGCCTTGCTGGGCGGGGTAGGAGGTATGAGAGCATCTAAATTGACAAGCGATGCCCCCGTCGGACCCAGGAAAGCTTCCGGAGTCCGACAAATCCGCGGAGCGCCTAGAGGGGCTGCTAGCCGGGACAGGTCGAGCATCTCCGGGCTATTGGACTCTCTTCCATTTACCTGCGCCTTAAAAGGTGGTTCTGGTCCAAATGGATCTGCTTTGTTTTGTTCAGAAAACAAGTCAGATTCTTGATTTACCCCAAACAACTCAGCATCTGTAAAAGAAAGAATACATCGGAATCATAGAAAGAAAACGTTGAAATGGATAATTTTTCACCACATTTGATAAGTTATCCACGCAGTGGCTGTGGAGCCACAGGATTTAGTCAAATTATGTATGCAGTGCCACCTGAGGTCCTCAAGAGCACACACATTACTTTCTGGAGTAATAACTGTGAGTGTGTTAATGAACGAGCAAACAAACTGAGTTCACTCTGTCCACCGCATGGTGCTTTTATAAAAAATATATGACAAAGACATGTTTTGCCTTTGAAAATAATTACCTGCAGTAACTAGGATAAGACTTCTTTGTTTATTAGTTTCTAAATCTTGTGTTGGTGACATCTATCAATGTTTTGTTAATGGGTTTTATAGCTTACATAGTGTAAGTTGTCTATGTGATCTATAGTTTATAGATCATTTATAAGAATAAATATTTCTGTGTATTACCAAGGTTATTTATGACAATGGAAAATAAATTTCAATGAATTCAAATAACTTTTGATATAATTTCCTAATAGCCTCTGTCTGTTTCCTGCTTCACTACCTGTGGGGCTGGCGGGTTGAGGAGAGGATACTTGGGGAACCTCCTGTTTAGGCTTCACCTCTTCCTGTCCAGTGAACGGATCTGTCCCATCATCATCTGTCAGAGAAAACGACTGATTAATTCAACTCCAAATGCGAAGAGCAACGCTTATGTTTTTGGAAATGTATTTCAAACTATAATAAGCCGTATATATTCGTATGAGGCTTTATGATATTGAATATTTATAATGGGCTCAGAACCCCCATCTGTTGGGCTCTCCCAGGCATTATTGAGAGGACTGGATGGTGCTGGGGTGGCTTCCCAGGGGTCTGTGTGTGAGTTTGCACATGGAGCCCAAGGATTGGATGTGTTTGAGGAGGAGGGAGGGACTCTCCAGGGGCTACCAATCACAGGAGTGCTGGAGTGGACTGCTGTGAAGACATATAATTATATATATATAGATAATATATAATTTATAAGATATATTATGATATATAAGACATCATTTGATCTGACTTTACGGAGGTGTGCAGCTTTTGTTTTTACTACATAAGTTTTAAGGTTTCTTTTCGGTCTTACATGTCATGTTTGCGTTTTTGAGCCACCCACCTACAGAGTCCCAGGGGTCCGAGGCGACGTTAGAAGAGGGCTGAGCTGAGTTCCAAGGGTCACCAGAAGGAGGCTGGGGCTCAGTAGAGGGCCCAAATATGTCAACAAGGTCCAACATAGCGGACTACAAAAGAACAGATCTTGAAATTCTCTTTTGTGCTTCCGGGTTTGTGTGTCATTACCATACACAATCACAACCATCAAGGAAATAAAGCCATCAAAACTGAGACCCAGCGAGCGGAGTTTCTGCTTAAGTCACCACAAAAAGTACATTTTTCCTACGAGGAGTGTTAGTTTCTGCAGCCCCTAGACTTTTTCAATTCTAGTTATAGAAAGTAATCCGTCATAGCATTCACTGCTGGCATTTCAAAAGGCTGCCGTTTGAAAAACAGCACACACAAGCCAAGGACATTGACCCCCAAATCAAGCAAGTAATTGCTTAATCACAGACTGAGACAGAATGCAAGCACCACAGAATCTTATAGGTCAACAACTCATTGAAAGCACTTTGATTTTCAAAAAGGACATCCGACGTGTCTACAGCGTTCATATCGGGCTTATGCATGGTCAGGCAATTTCTGGCAAAAATGGATGTAAATACACATTGTGCCTTCATAAATGAGAATTCTTATAGCTGTAAAGGTTACTAATACCAATGTAAAATATACCTTTCTGAGCCACCTTTCTGAACATTTTGTTCAAACTAAAAAAAAAAAAGGCCAATGATGTTGCGGCCAGTTTCACTGGTCCGAAAAGCAGTACGCTTCCACGGCTTTTCTCTGACGCAACTGAAAGCACCTGGCTCTCTGTGATAAGAACATTATGAATGTGACCAGTTGCAAGCCACGGGGACCTTTACATCACACGGCCAGTGACCAGGATTTGGCTTGTTGACTGATGTAGCTTTGAGTGAAAGAGCTGATGTGCAACATGATAAGGACTCTGCTTTCAGGGAAATGTCAGGCTGAGCTCAAGCTAAGACAAGTCATTATCATTCAGCATGCACACCTTTGCTCTCTCAGCCCTAAACCGTTCTCCTCCATTACGCTGTTCTGTATCGTTTTGTCTAATTCCCCCCTCCCCAATTGCTCAGTCTGCACCCCAGATTGAGTTTAATTCTCCTATTGCCTGAAAGCAGCCACCTACAAAAACACCCGCCCACCTTTCCATGCAAATGCCTGCTCACACACCATGCATGTGCCCACACACACACACATGCCTCCCAGCCCATACAGGCGTATTTTCAAACTAACCTCGCGTGTCCCTGACTGGCTCTCTCGCCGGCTCTCATCCATTGCCTTCTGCAAGAGCGAGTCGTCTCCTTGGCGACAGCGCTGCTCCTGCAGGGGCGGCAGCGTGACATCACCGGCACAGAGTATGAACACCCGCTCATTCGGACACGCGGCCATTACCGAAGAGCTTCTCTTTGGCTGGGCGAAATGAATGCATTTCATTTTGTGATGCAGAAGCGTTCATTTTGAAAAAGAAATACATTTTCTATTGTGGAGAGAAGCACAGCAAAGGTTTTTGGGGAAACATCGCTTGTTTAGGGGAAAATTGACCGCGATGTTAAAGATTAACAGCAAAATCTCCAAAACAGAGTCTATAAAAATAGACAGGGGTTCAGAGAAATGTCTTTAAATGGGAAATATTTGAGTTACAAGCTAAATCATGACATAATATAAAACACACACAGCTGAGCGCTGAGCTAAGAGGCTTGTTTCCTTTAGGCTTTAAGCAGTCTGTCTTCATCCATGTTCATGCCTGTTTGACGCCGAGCAAATGTTTAAAACTTCTATAACACTTTAATTGAACAATTTCAAGAATTTTTAAAAGATCCCAGAGGCATCAGTGGTTCCAGGTAAGAGGATGTAAGCTATGCTATCGCCCTGCCGGACCTACAGATCATCATATGATGTGTGTGTGTGTGTGTGTGTGTGTGTGTGTGTGTGTGTTGTTTTACCTTCTGACTCTCCTCCCTGCTCATGGCTAGGGCCAGCTGGAGCTGCAGCTCCTCCTCCCCGCTGGTCTGAGGCCGAGCCTGTTCCAGGTCAGAGGCGGCACGTGGAGACGAGGATGACGCTGCAGAGGCAACAAGCGAGGGCGGTTTCGGATCAAAGGTATTAGAGAAACTGTTGGATTGATGTGAGAAACAGATAAGCAGATGCTCTGGGACGAGGAGCACAGGAATGCGAAGCTCTGATTTGAATATTTCCAGGCCCACACAGCAATTTTGATAATCTGTGTGGCTCTGCTGTTCACCAGGCCTGTGGTAACAACCCTGCATACAAATGTGTATCTGTAACACTTTGTCAATTTATTAACAAATGTCAAACAATAAAGCACTAAAAAAAGAAGTTAAAAGAGTACAATTCAGTTCACTCACAGTTGAAGGAGGACGGGGAGCCTCTGGAGCGGCTCAAATCTTCCCCGTACAGGACAGCCATGCTGGGCTGACTCGTGCGTCTGCCCGGGTGATAAGATGGGGGGAGACCTCCTTGGACGCCACCTCCGGTGCCTCCCCCAGCCATTCGCTCTTTGGTCTTCAGGGCCTGACTCCTCTCCTGACGGAGCCTCTCCTCATCCCGCAGGAGACAAACCAGTTGCCGTGCTTTTTCCCGAACGTTCGCCCCCTGGTCTCTGCCATCACGGTCCACGTACTGGAAGTCCCGCAATGTCTGTAATGCACAAAAGCGGCTCTCAGGAATCAACATATATATAATATAATAATAATATATAATAATATTATATAACAATACGATGTAATATAAATAGAATAGAATAGAATAAATATATATATATGTGTTCAAACTTTGGTGAGCGTCCTTTTGTTCTGTCTTTTTTTATACATCCATCCATCCATCCATTATCAATACCGCTTATTCCCTCATGGGGTCGCGGGGGAACTGGAGCCTATCCCAGTGGTCAACGGGCGAGAGGCAGGGTACACCCTGGACAGTCCGCCAGTCCATCGCAGGGCCACATACAAGACATACAAGGACAAACAACCACTCACACTCACATTCACTCCTAAGGGCAATTTCCCCAATCTCCAATCAGCCTAACATGCAAGTTTTTGGACTGTGGGAGGAAGCCGGAGAACCCGGAGAGAACCCACGCAGACACAGGGAGAACATGCAAACTCCACCCAGAAAGGTCCTGGTTCCCCCGGGATTCTTTTTTTATACATTTGATTAATTTAATTGTTAAATTAAGTCAGAGTAATAAACCCATTAGTATTTAACTTCATAAAAGGCAAAGAAGATGAATTAATTCATCAGACTATGTCTTTAAAAACAAGCACTTTGCATCCATGTGTGTGGCTTCATCTGTTGTATGTCTTCCTTAGAAAGAATATACAACTTGTCATATTTTGAGACTCTTGAGACACAGGATTATGCTATTATGTCCAAATACAGGAAAAAATCTGGATGTCATGTTAAGCCCCAGAATGTAATTTAGGAGATGCAGCAAAAGCCTCGATAACCTGATATTCCAAAACAAATCCGGACGACATATTAGTTTTCAGTTTGTGCCTTTATTGGATTTTTTTTTTTCTTAGTCTAAATAATAATCCAAGATTAGATTATATCGTGTCAACAGTAATAAACCAACAGGCTGGGGAGTGGCTCAAACTGCTGGGGCTCTGTTATACTCTCGCTCCAGTACCTGAATAGAGAACGCGTTCTCCCGGCACTGCTGGGCCACTCTCTCCGACCCCGTCTTCAGCAGGTAATCCAGCAGAGTCAGGGCCTGGAGTCCAAAGCAAATTATGCACGAATTTTGGGTCAAGCTTGTGGTTAAATCAATGTGGAGGAAGACATCACATAGAAACAACTTTCGTGGTGACACCTTGTATACGTGTCTCCAGTTCTTGCCGCTGTCATTGAGGCGCTTCCATATCATTCCCATGACCTCAGCAAACGCCACCACATTGAAGGTTAAGTCAGCGATCTCCGACATGAGAGACGAAGATGGGCCCCATGGATCATTTGAAGTGGCCTCGCGAACCTGTGCAGTCACACAGAGAGATGACGACATATTTCTCAACAGCATGATTTACTGTTGGTGAACGAAACCCTTAAAGAAAAAACAATACCTTGATCTCCGCCTCTGAATAGTTGTGCACAATGTTCTTCACCTGCCGGCGCAGGGCTGATGTTGTCATGGTGACACGGGATGAAAGGTGGGCAGAGAGAGAGGGACAAGTGAATGCTCTGCAAGTTAGGAAAGGGGCTGAAAGGGGAGACACGGATGGAAGATGGGGGGGGATGTGGCACTTTCACCAGGGAAGGCTCCTCCTTTCTGTCAGAGGTTACAGCATACCACTGTAAGACAGATACATAAATAGATTATTCAGTATATGGATATGAGCTATACAGATGTCTATAGACTCTAGAAGTAGCTTAATTTGTAGTTTTCTTTTTACAGTTAAACTGTAACTCTCAGCATTCCTCAATATCACCAGGTTCTCCCCCAGATCTTAACTTTGCTACATGAGTTTCACGGACCCATTAGAGGGAAAAAAAGAGACCAAAATCAGAACTTAATCAGTCACATAAACAGTGACTGATGTCAGCGACTTGCTGAGCTGCTCATGAATGGTGCCCCATCTCAAAAAGTAGGTCACACAGCAGCTCTGGCACTCAGGTGTCTGATGAAGCTTCTTGAAAGCTTTTTTTTATCCAGGCCAGCAAACCCACACAAGGACACACGCGCACACTCACAACCCATTTTTCTTCTCCAAATTCAAATTTCAGAGGGGACACTTGGGAATTGATCACCATGGTCCCTGTCATACTGAACCCCTCTCACTCACGATGGCTTCACTGACACCCAAACTAATTAACCCAGTAAACCAAAGCTAAACTAGGTTGACTCAACAGAACTAAACATTTTTAAGACTACTCCAGTCGGTTGAACTGTCACATGTCGGATGGCTTTTAAACCTGCCTGCCACTCCAGGCATGACCTTAACTTTTATTTTGCTTCACATGTTAGGAAACTATTGATTCAAAGTAAAGCAAAACCAAACCTAGTTTGAAGCCACTGCTATAAAAAAATAAACCGTATCCGTACTGCTATTATTTCAGTTCAGGTGAGTTTTATTTTTATAAATACAAATTAGGTAATTCATTTATATATAGCTCATGGTTTAGACTATCAATAGTAAAATGTAATAAAGCCTAATTTACGCTTTACCACAACATATAGCTAAATAGTAATCCATATCACTTATGCAATGGGTATGACAACGTTGTCAACAAACTGAATCCATGACTCATTTGCAATGTGTAAGCATGCAATGATATGCTGGACCTCTCCAGTTCTAGTGTGTGAATTACTGCAGGAAAATGGTGGCATCATAACAAGAAAACTGCTCTAGCATCAATACGGTGGATCTGCTGAGCAAAATAGCTTTCCATTACACTTAAAATCGCCTCCCCATAGTCCCCAGTACCCAACAATGATCGGTAAGATTTTTAGTGGAACAGCCACACGTAGTCTGAGGCCTTTCAGGAGCCCTCGTGTGTGATCAGATCAACAACGCCACCCCTCCTGTCTGATGATAGTGAAAGCTCCTCGTGATTTTGTGCCATTGTTTCTCTGCAGATGTTCCATGTACTGAGACAGACAATACATGTTTGATTTTAGCTTCGATGTACAACACTTGTCACTCAGGCATCCACTGAATGTAATCTAGATGGTCCATCTGTCTAAAGGCATCATTTCCACAGAGCTATTAGATACTGATCCTAACAGTCAAATCTGGTTTCATAAATGTGAATTTGCCATTTAGATTGGTGTATTGGTGGTCTGATTTTGGCCCAACCACACTATTTACCTTTAGGCTTATCATACATTTTTAAGTAACAGTGTGTTACACACACACACATACGTTAGTGATGCTCTCAATTTGAGAAAATGGTTAACTAACTCTTTTGTTATGATCATTCTTTTAGAAACACCTCTCTTTAATTCCAATCAGCTCCTCATTTCTATGTCACTTTTCACTTCTGCTCCACAACAATTCCACTCTGAAAGCAGTAACAGGATGGATTGTCCTGCTGAAAAGCAAACCTCAGCAGAAGCACCATGGACCCGAGATGCACACAGCGCTGGTTAGAAAGTCTGGGGGGCCGAACAGCATGGGAGTAACAGTGGATGTGCAGGAGAGATGGATGGCCGTAGAGAACGAAGGGCACAAAGAGAGAAAGAAAATGATGCTCAGCAGCTGCAGCCAGTATCACCTTTCTGCACAATCATCTTCAGCTCAAACACAGAGAGCCCCCCCTCCCCCCCCTCCCCCCCACACACACAAAGGTTAAAACACACTGCTGCTGTCAACTGAACCATCTTACCCGAGCATTAGGCCATAGCCAATATTTCACATGGTGGGAGCAACATGATCATCAGAAAATCCTCAGAGCTGGCATTAAAAGGCAAAAGTATAACAAAATATACCAATGACAACAGTACTGTGAGCCCATCGCCAAGAGAAAGAAAGGCCTCTTCATGATAGTGTTAAGAAAAGACTGTGAATTCAGACACAGTGGGATTATTCAAACTAAACTATAAGAGTCAATACATATTTTATGTATAACTAACACAGTGTTTCTGAGAAACCTCAGGTCTGCCTCGCACTTTGGAGGTATTTGATTTAAAGTCTTTGAACCGACTGCCGTGGTGCCCTGAGAATACATAAAAACACATTATGTGACTCATCTGGGTGCAATTACTCAAAGTCTCAACGAGACAGCCTCAGCATCAAAACCAATTCAGGAAGAATAACCTGACTAAGTCACTCCTTTGTGATCTAAAGCTTCAGGATCTGGTTGTCTGGTTTTCCTAAAACAGATGTGTATGAATGACTTACATAGCAATACTCACAACTTTCAACACAATACAACATACACTGCCAAGTAGGAAAGATTTTTCTTTTTTGAATAAACAATAAAACTACGGATGGTTTATCATAGGGGAGTGATGAAGTTTGAGGATCTGATGCGTCACGTCGCTAAAAAGAATCAATGCACCTTATGCGTAAATGCGCATGCGTACTGTAGAAACAGGTGTATGGTTCAGTATTTTACCGGGTGCATAGTAAATAGCGCAGTTCATTAAGTCACAGAGACCCCCTTAGCCTACTGGCAATACCGAGGCTGCAGCAGGGGATGCATTAAGCTGCTGAGCAAAGATAAGAGAATGAAAACGTGCTCCCAGGCGCACATCTCGTTCAGGTGGTAACAGAAGGAGGGGCGCCGACGGAGGTCTGCATAACACACCCCCTCTCCCCAATAAACCCCTCACACACGCCCCCTCATGCGGTGAATTCCCCCGTGCGCGTCGCCATGTGTAGCACGGACTCAGCCGACGGCTGCCTGGAGCTGACCGGCCCGGGGGCTGACCGGCTCCACAGAGGTGGAGGCCGGCCGGCCGGCCGGCCTGCCCCCCCCCCCCTCCCCATCCATCCCTCACCATGCCCCGCGCTCATCCTCTGCCTCCTCAGCCGAGCATCCTCTCATCTGTCCCCATCTCCGGCCGCTCACAGTCCCGATGTGGTCCCCTCCTCCTGGATCTGCTTAGCAGGACGATGCCCCCTCCAAATAAACCATAAACCTCCCCGGAGCCTTTATCCCGGGAGCACGAGAGAGAGAGAGAGAGGGGATCCAGGCGCTGTGGGTTTGAGAAAATCCTCAAATCGCGCCCGAATCCCGGCCTATACGCGCAGGACGATCCGAGCCCTCCCCGACCAGGCAGTCAGTGGGAACATCCGCATAGGAAAAAAATGATTAGCTACTACACACGGCTCCCTCTCCTCCCCCCTCGCACGGAGGCAGCCCCGTCCACTCACGCACACGGCACCGGCGGGGCCCGGCCACGCGCAGCGAGCGCGCGGCGATCTACGGCGGGGAGCGTCAGCGGAGGAGGGACGGGGGCGCGTCTTCTGCTTAGTCTGCGTTTAACCTGACAGCAGCACCCGGCTGATGATGATGGCGGCCCCCGAGGCGTGAAAAGGACAGACAGGGTTTATTGATCCCACAACAAAAATAGGGCGTACATCTTAGGTGACACGTTTTATTACATCTGGTCGTAAATCGCCGGGCCGGCCTCCCCCTGTGCTTTGTGTCCCGTCTCCCACATCCATCTCGTCCAGGAGGTCACAGAGGTTGTCCAATAGGTCCTCAACGAGAACATAAACCTGGCAGATAAACAAATACGCAAGATTTACAAGTTGCTCACGAAGGAATCCAGTTTTTCACCTTTTTTTTGTGAAAGATTCTGGGATTTGATTAAAAAATCTCCTCAATTTTTGTAAAAGCATTTGACACTTTCTTGTGTTGGCTATTTTCAATGTTTGATGCTTAGTGTATCAATGCAGTTTAATGCAAAGCCAATTCAATCAGCAGGTTCATCAACAAGATCTAAAATGAATTATTCAATTTATTTTGGATTCTATCTGTAAATAGTATCTTTGGAATTGGAATGCATTGTGTGTTGTGTGCATAGTTCATGTAATGGCTACCTATAACATTAACATTTGTTTTGGCAAAGCAGAAATGTGTGTCTGGTCTGGCACAATCTGTTTCTTATTTTACAAAAATTGGGGATTTTGCTCTTGATGAATGTTTGAATTGTATATTTTATCATAACACTGTGGATGATGAGGATAATTTAGGTCAACAAAAAGAAATGAAATGATAACTTAAGCTATTTTTTTGCATACATTTTAGGTCAATAAAGTTATGAAGAAAAAAAGTATTATAAAAAAATAACAAAAAAAGCGTATTTAGTTCCTAGAACACTTAATTGTAGGATTATGACCCCCATAATCCTCCTAAGAATCTTGATCCTAATATTTTCTAACCTGAGATAAACCTAATGAAATTATCACATGTGTGGGGTTTGGGGACAGCCAAGCAGAACACAACAGAGTAAAACTTCACACGATCATGCCATGTGTGAAAGGTAATATCTTGCCTGTTTATGAAGAATTCTGCTGTATGTATGCATTATATCTGAGTCTGCCCTGCGATCACAGGGTGATGTTGAACGGGTATCAAACGCTGAGGAAGAGTCCTTTCCTTGCTTTTCTCGGGAGTTCTTCCCTGTGTCATCTTTTCTTTTACCCTTCTTTTTACTCTCCTGTGGAAGGACGGGCAAGGTTAGCAGCAAATCGTATAACTCCAGTCTGCAAAGCATGCAGATTTTGACTGCTATTAGCATATTTCTGTGTTTGCATCTTTCACAGATGGCTTGGAAGGGTACAGGTGCAATTCATTTCCACTCTGGTTCGCCCCAGTCCAGGAGCAGGCGGGCGCTTTCACACACGGCTCTGTTTCCATGGTACCATGTGAGTAATAGGTTGTACCTTACCTATGACTCAACCCATACATGGAGGAGAAAAATCACACAGCAAAATATGAGCAGATAAAACTGTGGCCTCAGTCCAACTCAAAATGCCTTTGATGGTGGACAATAGAGAGAAGAACCATTAGCAGAGAGAGATGACTGTTCCAAGGTTAGCTCAGTGCCAGGCTATCTCTGAGAAACACAATTTCTCCCTTAAATTCAGGGCTGTGAGTAGAACTGAGTATAATGCAAATGGCTCCATGGTGGGCGGGAGCAGAAAAACATCTCAGTGAATGAGTCCTGGTGGCCCTTTTTTCTCATTGTCACATGAAGCTAAGCACACTTTAGCCAAACAGAAATTCTCCTGTTGAGTAACTAATAAGGAGACCTTTTCCTATCTACATTTGTGGATAAATGAATGCACGTATATGGAAAAGAGAAAACGTAGTATGATGTGTCATGAATGATTTTAGGAAATCAGCCTAAAGAACATGCAATTCTAGATTTGTACATTAGTAAGAATGAGACAGCAAAGTTGAGAGGCAGTCAGTAGTAGCAGGACATCAGAAACCCTTCAAATGGGAGATGAATGAATGATGAAGTGACAGCTCTGGAGTGATGAAGATGACTCATGTGTGGATCAGTTGGAGCGTCAGATGAAGCAATGTGTCACGTCTCGCAAAACATATTTCATTCATGCTCGTGACAAAAAAAAACGTTTGCTTTTGCTGCCACTCTGTGGCAAAATATCTTCTAGGTCTCCGTCTCCAGCCGTCTATGGTTCATTTGCAACACTCACATGCACTTTCCTCCTTTTATACTCTGTTCCGAGCACATTTTCTTCTCACCTCCAGGGCTTTCTCAGTTGCTGCTCCTGTGCCTGCTTTTTTCTCGTTCTTCTCTTCTTTGGGGGGGTCATCAACAGAATCTAAGGTGCGACTAGATAGAAGTGAGTTGTGCAAATCTGTGGAACAGTGAAAACACTATCAGTCAACTTTATTACATATTTATCATAGCATGGACAATGACAAAGGTTCACAAATTCAACTGATTTTGATTTGGAAAGGTTGTTTTGCTCTTCTTTTGTCTGTAAAATATCCCAGTAATGTTTCCTTTGGATGCAAGTGAAGCAGTATAGTGTCGCTACTGTGAACTTAAATGAACTTGAACCTGTATTTTCAATACAACTTTTCTTCTTTTTTCACAAATCAATGACTCTTCCTGATAACGGCGATTCTGCCACTACTGAATGGCTACACTAACATTTAAATAATTTGACATGAAGTATTCTGGGCATAACTCATGACACAGAGCCAACATATGTGAGTCTTACCAGGGTCAGAGTTGATGGATTCACTTATTTTATCAGTCCACATTTCTTTTTCTGGGAGGCCCAGCAGATTTCTCAGCCTTATGTCTTGATCACACATGGTGTCCAGAAGATTCTTCCACAGCTGCTGCCTGCAGAGGGCACCAAACACCACCGCAGTGAATAGACTGGCAGTTCAGAACATTTTGTACACTACGGCGTACTAAAGTTGAAGTATTAGTTATTTCCTATATATGTTTTACCCCATAGCCAAAGCTGATAAATGCCAGTGAGTCAGTTCAGAGGGCTCAGAAAGTTGCAGAAGCAACAAGTTGAGCTGGACAAGACTCTCTTCCTTTGTGGGGGAGTCCGGAGTTTTTACTTCATCAGGCAGAGACAGCACAACCTTCAGTTCAGGGAATAATAACAAGATAGAAAGACGTCAAATCTTTCCCTCATCAACATGATATGAAACTGTTGCAGGCCCTTTAGAGTAAAGCTTTGAATTCTCTAGTTTATAATGATATTTCTTCTTTTTATAATCAAGTCTGAACTCATATTTAATATAAATTGAGCCTACCTGTCGGAGTGTGTCCACAGACAGGTCCCAGGGGCGAGCTTGATTCAGCTCCTTCCAGAGTCTCTTAAGGTCTTCCACTGGCTGATCAAAGTACTGCAACTAAAAGAGAGATGTGGTTTATGAAACTGGAGTAGTTAGCACATCACAAAATGATTATTTCCTCAAACCGCTCTCCCCATTAGGACACATTATTATTTGAGTCCTCTAAGGAGTTGGGAAGAGCTCCATCTGACAGCCCTTAGGGTGACAATATGCGACCACGTGAAAAACCTCAAGAGTAACAATCACCACAATAATGACTGTGAAGCTAAGGCTTCAGATTAGATTACTCACAATAAGGGCTGAGATTTTTAACAAAAAATGTTTTAGTTTCATACATTTGATAGCGTTCTGAAATACAAACTTGAAATACAGGAGCCTGAAAATTGGCACTAAATGCTTTTTAGGTCATCATACTTTGTATTTAGTGAAAAACAGTCTTATCACCCTCATAATTAACCAACATAAAGCAAAATGCCCCATTTAGTTACAGTCACAGAAATTATGGTCTGGCTTTAGGCACGATCATCTATCTGCTATCATACAATTAGCTACTATGAATTCTGGTTTGAATAATCTAATTGTGGAATACTAAACGAAAAGCCATGTGTGGTAAGAACAGACTTCATGTGCTGAGAATGCCCGCCTACAGCCAGTGAAAGGTCAAACGAAACTACACAATGAATGATTCCATTATCAGGTCATCTCACACCGTGACTAAGTTCAGTCTGAAATAAACCCTTTCGGAGAAAAACGTATGACACATCAGTGCTTCAGAAAATGGTGGGATCAGTGGGCTGTCGACATAATTTCTTTACCTTAGGGTTTTTGTCCCGGAACTGTTGCTCTTCAGTGGTGTAAAGTTCAGCAGGGGAGCCGGGTCTTTCGGGGCTTTGGACCCTCTGAACCACCTCAGACACTATTGACCGACATATTTTTTCTACAACTACCTTCTCCACTTTTGTCTGTATATGCACAACAGAAAGGAGAAAGCTAAATCACATGTTGAAAAAGGAGCTTTCTACTCATTAAATTCATTGCCATCAGGACTAGCTGCTGGCCTTTTTTTCCCTGTAAATTACCTCGAGGAAAAGCCTCTGATCTGCAGTTTTGTCCTGGCAAAGAGCCACTCCTCTCAACTTGAGTTGTATGGAAGCCCCTTGCAGTAAAACAGGATGGGTGTTGAGCTGCCAAAATTCAGTTTTGATACCTGGTTTTTCTGACTTGAATATAAACTCCACCTGCTTAGTGTCCCCGGGGTGGATCACACCTGGATGGGAGGAGAAGGAACTCAGAGAGCCAAAACGCAGGTGCAAAGCTAGCGGAGTGGAACAACGGGCTTCCACACAGGGAAGCACTGTGTGACGCATAACGGCGGCTTGCTTGTGTTTATACCAGAGGAGGAATTGAAGTAGAAGTGTCGTTTCTTTGTTTGTGGGCACAGGTGAGGAAAGCTGTGTGGCACTGGCAGCTGCTGCCAGCCGTAAAAGATGGCTGCGCTGCCCTCATTATGTAGCTCCATGTGGGACGATGCTATTTCTCCAGTTTGGGCCTCAAAGAATATAGTAGCACTTATTCCTACTTCTCCCTGACAAATCCATGTGGTAAAATGACAGACAAGTGTTAGGTCTTATCATCACAGACATGGAAACACCAGTTACATTTGGGCAAGTTATGTCTGTCTACAAACAAATTATACATATATCAATAAATAGACGTTTGTTTATAATAAGAGTGAAGTAAGCTAGAACAGAATAGAATATTTTTGTGAGGTGAACACTGGAAACAGGAAACAGAAAAGTGAAACATCTGGTATGATTTTTGCAAGCTACTGATGGAGGTGCTGGAAGTTTTTCAAAGGATATTAGTTTGTCCCAGACATGGATCTGTATCTCCAAGATTTCTAATTATGGCCAAAGCAACTGGGAAAAAAGTTCTCTCCACCTGGTTAGAAACTGAGTTTCCAGTCCAGCGAGCGAGCTCCCCACAGAACCTCAAAGCAGGAACCGGATGAGCTTCGGCCTGAACATCATCACACTGTACAAGTGGATCACTGAGGGGTGACATAAAAAATTAAAAAAACATTGCAGAGTTTTCCGATGAGTCAGTGATTTTCATAACTTTAAATTGAGTAAGTTCTGCATCTCTTCATGAACCGTCTACAGGTCTATATCATGCTAAGAGGCTTTTGAGAAGCTAAGTATCTCTTACAACTTCTCCTTGATCTCCTTATCTTCTCGCTCCTTCTCATCTAAGGGACTTTGACATGCTGGGATGAATGGCTTTCCAGAGCCAATCACCTCCAGTCCACTGATGTCCTATAATCAAATATCCACAGGTTAGTCTCACCCCCATATCTCTATTCAAACTGACCAACTGTCACTTCAGTCAGGCCAGAGCTTTTTTATGGCCAACACAGATGCACGTCATTATTCTTTGCTGCCAGAGAGACAAAATTAACATACTTATGAAACATTAAATGTAAGAATGATGGTACTAAGAGACACACAGTGCCAGGTAGTCTTATTCGAGTATACACACACAGTGTCATTCAACCTTTTTCTGTATGGCTGTTTGGGTGTTTGTTTTGCTCAGTGCTTTTTATTAATTGTTCAATGCAAAAACCAATGTGTTATTTCAACGTTCCACACACTGTAGGATTGAGTTTCACTCTGTGTCTCCTTTCTTACTACCTACTCCTCTCTGTGATTTTTTTTTTTTGCCCCCTCCCAACACCTACCAATCACTTTTTCTTTTTTTGCTCGTATGTCACAAAGCCATATCGGCTGCGGACAGGACGATCCGTCTCAGACTCTGTAAGTCAGAGGGCACTTCAGAGCCCACATCTGAAGCGTCACATTAACTGCCTGTGCAACAGAACATACCGCACCCATTTTCTCTCATTTCACCAGCACTAATGTGTGTGTGAGACAGGAACAGGGAAGACAGATAGCAGCCGTGACCACGAAAAGAAGATGAAATTTGAATAAACCTACTTATAATCTGCACCTGTCATTTAGGGCGATAATAAGATTAATTGAGAACTGGCTGTGAAAAGAAGCACATTTATGCATACGTGTTTACCTCAGGACCCCTTGACACTGCTGATGGAGTCATTGTCATGCAGAGGTAGCTGTACGGTAGAGTCTGTCCCTTTGGTTGGGCTCAGCTGCCCCCCACATCTCAGAAGTGCTACTTTTATGACTTGGCACGATTCGGATTTCATAACTGTACTTGTTCTGTTTTTGCATGTACGTGAGAGTTTTTGGAAAATTTTTGTGTTCGTGTACAGGTTTGTGTTTCCCCCTATGAATCCGCATGGATATGTGCACCTGTGCAAATGTGCGAACACTGTAAAAAGCCTTGTACATTTCCCAGAGTTTGTTCCCTTCACAGAAAAATCAGAACAGTGTGCCCAAGGCTGGATGATCACAGGCTGTTTGTAAAGATACAGAGTGAATAGACAGTGTGTCCTTGGAGTTTGAGCAGCTTCAGACAGCCTTGTGGTCCAATTATTTTAAAAAAAATGTTTTAGTTGAAACAAAATATGTCCACTCTTAGTTTTCCAAAGTAAATTAGCTTTTTTGGGGCACTGTCAAAGAAAAGAGAAAATAATCTATGTCACTGGATAATAATTTTATATTGAATAGATCAAATTCATACTAAAAAAGTTTAAACTTAAACTTTCCACTGATCCCAAATTTGAGTATAGAAACATGACTTTTCTAAGGATCTTGTCCCGCAGTGATCCCAGAGATGGTAGAAAGTTGTAACCAGGTGCGACAAAATGACCCTGACATTCATCATTATTATGATAATTATTGTTCTACAGCCTTGAGAAAACAAGAGGCAGATTACCTCAGAAAACAGAAGACTTTACTCATTAGTTAGTTATACTTGTATAAGAAAAAATACAATTATAAACAAACAATCTGCACTGTTAGAAATTGAAAAATAAAAAAAGTTTTGCGTTACTGGCTTTTTGATGTCCAAGTCCTGCAAAACCCCGCTCAGCTCCTGGTATTTGTGCTGGAGATATGCACTCTGGTCCCACGTCTGAGAGGCTGAACACACTTTCTTATCAGACGTGATTCCTAAAAAACAAAATACAGGCTACAGACAGAATTCAGGATGCCTTACAAAGACACAGATTGTCAGTCTTTTTAGGGGTCTTTTTTCTCCAAATTCTGCAGTAAAACCAGCGCACATTCAGTGTATTCTGCGTTTTCTGCCTTTAGAGATACTCTTATGTCGAGAGCTTTGTTGAAAACTATAACGTTCCTGCTAAAATGTTCTCTAGCAAAGCAATTTTCTGAATATCGAGTAAATGGAAAGTCAGAGGGAACAAAGCCAAGAACAAGACAGAAGAGACGAAGTGGGACACTGTGTAGGTGTCTGTTTGTACCTAATTCTTGGCGTATACTGTTGGGTATTCCTACATGTGTGACAGGTTTCTGTCGGCCCAGCTCAGCTTGAGTCAGAGTGGCTGCAATACCACTCATTTCATCTCCATAACGCTGTGGGAGACTCCAAAACTCACTGCCCACACGATAGCCCTCAAAAAGAAAAAAAAAAGGTGTGAAAAACTGAAGTGTTAAAGGAACATAATAGCTTAGGAAAAGCGAGTGTGCCTCATACAAATCCAGAGTGGACGAGTGGCATGACTTTGTTCAGAATTTCCCTCTGTTCCTGAGTTTCTCTAAAATGGTTAGCTTGGTTCATCAGTAGGTTATCCACCGGCCTGTCTGACACGTCTTAAAATGATATAGAACAACATGGCACTTCACTTAATGACTCAAGTAATTGACTTTAGACTGTCTTTTATGTAAAAAAAAATCCTTACATGATAAAAGATCCTGCTGCACTCTGCGTTGTTTCATTTGTTTTTTCCACTGCTGCAGGGCATTACTCTGGATGTTTTTCTGGCTTGAAAGGACCTTCCTTATCACAACATTGGTGATTGGCCTCCTTGTGGGCTCAGATGTCAGATCTCTAAAGGACTTTGGTATCCGCTTTACCAACTAGTAGTGAAGAAAAGAGAGAGTAAACCATCAGAGTGAACTCACTGAAGTTAAAGCATTTCAGTTTGGGAATGGGAGCTTAATCAAATAATTGGTCTCTTTACATCCGTCTCTCCTTTGGCCTGGAGATAACTTCTAAAATCCTCTAGGCTACCCAAGATGCTGTGTGGGAGAACCATCCCATCATCGTCAAACTGAAGTCCCTCTGGTCCTGGGAGAAAAAAAAAGATGGAAAAAATGACAAAATATCTTTTTTTCAGAGTGATTGAAAAGAATGGTGTTGCATTATTCTAATGTGTGATCCATCACTTTTATGTTTTTAAAAGAATAAACATGTTTGCTTTTAGCCACCCACACAGGGATGAAGATAAAGTGAATCTACCTATGCTGGGCTTTTCTCACATATACAAAGAGAGCAACCTGAAACACTGACATGGTTATGCAATTCCATCTATATCTCTTAATATGAGAGGTCTTTGTAGTTGCCATGGCCAGCGCAATGGTCATCCCTTGGCGTTTGCATTCTTTTTCCTTTGTTAGATTATTTCTATTAGAACAGTACATTTGTTTCCAAAAGAGAGTCAAAAGAGAGCATTAACCTTTACTGCTGGTTTTCGGGGCTTTTTAAACATTATTCTGTCAAAAGCTGCTGATACTGACCCATGTTTCTTTCATTAATTGGACAACTTTGTAGTTAACCGGAAAATGCAGATCCTCATTAAAACTAGGTATTATACTCGGTATTATTTTTAAATGCAAGGTTTAGTGAATTCACCACTGCATTAGAAAAAAGGGAAGCTTTTCATACATGTTTTCTTCTGTTTTAAAGATACATTTTATCAGTAAAACTAAGGTGAAGACAAACGGGTGAAGACAAACGTTTAGCTTTTAGGTAGAAAGGGACAGTGAGAGAGAAAAACACCGGACTGTAGCTGACCTGAACCATTCAGATGTCCTAACTCTTTTCTTGGTGACTCACGGTGGCTCATTTTCATAAAATAATGGTCCCACAAAGGCAAAAGAACCACGAATGTAGCGCCAGTTCAGACTGGAAAAACTAGCTTGCTAGCAGCAGTTTTCTTGTTGTCGTTACCATAGTAACCCACTAACACCAAGGTGAAAAAAGTGTCGTTTTCCCCATCTATATCTGACTTTGTAATAATAAAGCCTGAAACAAGAAAAACTGAGATTTTTGTTTTTGTTTGAAGTCTTTATTTCTTCCCATAACAAAATGTAAAACATTTTTTTGTTTTTTTTTTATATTCATAATTCATTACCGTGTTGGCAAAATTATATTGTCGTGTACTGTAATCTTTTGCCCGCTGCTATCAGGTTTATCTGATTATGTACAACAGGGTTTTGAGCAACGTTTTTATCATTAAATGATGCAAAAGGTCTCATAGGCAAAACATTTCAGAAACGTCATACATATTGAATACATAGCCTGCAACAAACATGATATAATCTTTTTTTCTTGATTTCTATTTTGTAAGTTTTATTCATATGACTACTTTTTTACACAATGTCTACTGAAACGCTAAAAAAATGCACTTTAATTTAAGTCTCCACAGTACATCACATAACTATTGTGGGACTAATGTGACTGTAGTGGGGTTATAATTGGGGTTATAATAACCTATGATAGCCTGAAGTAGAAACATTTTCACATCAACTTTTGGAAACTTCTTGGGGAATGACAGACTCAGATATGCTTATACAACTGTAACCTGTGACCTAAAACTTTAACATTGTAGATATTAAATCATTCTGAAATTTAAAAAAAATATTCTAGGAATATGTTCATGAACATTTAAAAATGTGTATTGAATTTCTTTACGGGCACAAAAATATAATTTTGAATGAATGAGCCAGGCCAAACTGTGATCTATAGTTTTCAAGCTCATGTTTTTACAAAACATGCTGCTCTCCAGAAGAGACAACATGCACTTCTGTCAGTCAGCATGACGCGAGCAAATCACGGGGCAGAGGATGGTCTATATAAAGACAACTGATCTGCCAAGTTGCCAAACACACGCCAGAGAGCTCTATGAAAACGTCAGATCAACGATTCTGCGCCAAGCCAGGGGCGGTGAGCATCTCAAAACGACGATGCCCACAGACTCACCGACCACATCCATCACTGTTTCGCACCAGCTCAAATCTTCAGCCACCCAGAGCTCCCAGTTTCATATTAATATGGAGGGTCAGAGCGCGGGATGCTCCAAAGTCTTGCTGGCTTACAAAAACGCGTCACAGCACCTGAATCCATCGGGATTCAAGGCAGGTCTGGGTATACTCAAAGTGGCCACGACTCAGTGGAAACAAGAAAAGAAGACGCGCACAGGAGGTGCAGTAAGGCAGTTCTCGTCGGCCAGCAGTCATCCTTGCAAGAGATCTCCACTGGACCATCTGGCAGCGTTAGTCCTGCACGGTCAATCCCACCACTTTCACGTCAGCCAAGGGCACCAAAAAGACCCTATTTGCCAAACCAAACCACAGAACTCAAAGCGCATCGTGGTTCTCGGTGCGCCACGGGTTGGCAAGACCTCCATACTAAGAAGATACCTCCGGGACGGATTTGTGGAAGAATACAACCCAACATCCGAGGATTTCCTCAGGAAACTGTTTCGTATACGGGGTGAAACGTACCAAATAGATATCCTTGATGCATCCAGAGAGAGGGACTTCCCGGCCAAGCGGAGGCTGTCAATCCTCACTGGTGCGTATTGGTTGAGTCATTGTTACAAAGTGAAAATTAAATTGACTGTCAGAAGTTTGTGTATTCGTTAGAGAACAGCAAGAGTTGGCACATCAGTGTTTAGCGATCCTCTCTATCAAATGACGTGTAAAAAACAACTGCAAAAGTCTGACTTCTTTCTTTCTATTTTTCCATAGGGGACATTTTTCTTCTTGTATTCAGCCTCGATGATCGGAGCTCTTTTGAGGAGGTATGCGCCCTGCGCGCGGAGATCCTCGCTGCCAAATCCAAGCTCACCAAAACAGAGCCCTGCGCGCAGCTCCGGGTTCCCCTGGTGGTGTGCGCCAACAAGGTGGACCTCATGGACTCTAAGAGAGAGATTTCAAACGCAGAGGTTCTCCAAGCGCTCGGCGACGACTGTGCCTACTTCGAAACGTCTGCAAAGGACAGCACTAACCTCGAAGAGGTGTTCGAAACTCTCGCTAAGCGAGGCGGTCTTCCGACTGAAACCGGTCCATCCCAGCACCGCAAAGTCTCCCTCCGCTCGTACCAGGCTATCAGGACGGGCCGTCAGGGGGCCAATGGCCGGCAGGTGCGCGGGAGGGATGACCCGTGTGGAACACTGTACCCACTGGCACGGAGACCGAGCTTTAGCACTGATCTCCGACAAGTCACCGGACCCAAAACAACAAGAAAGCCTGGGAGAGGACTGGAGAAGTGTCACATTCAGTGAAGGCCGTGTAACAAACAAAAACAATGCGTAAAACAATGCGTAAAACGCTGCCATCCACACAAATGTATTGCATAACCTTGTAAATAAACAAGATTTAAAAAAACAAACTTCTTTTTATTTGTATCTACCGCTTCACTTATTTTGTATTATTCATTTACCCATGAGTTTAATAGATTCATACTCTATCCCTGTGTGTGTATGTGTGTCCCCACTTAAAGATGAAGGACATGGAGTGGTGGGAGGATGTTGAGTCAGGATCTTGATGATTTAACTATTGTGTCCATTGCATAACTTGCGTTCAGAAATGTATTAGACTGCAGTCCATTCTCACCCACTCACTCTCCTCTTCCTGTGCATTCATTAATGTGTGTGTCCGTGTGTTCCCGCAACACTTGAATCGTGATTGCGAGGAGAAGTCTGAATCCTGTACAGTAGGAACACGGAGCTGAGCTGAGGTTTTGATTTGATACACTTTCCTCATCCTACACAGCGCTATAAATATTTGTCATAGAGTTCTGACCCTTAGTTGGCCCCGTGAAGGCATTCATTAGCTGTCTTGTTCTTGATCTTGTGTTGCTGGAAACCTCTGAAGGAAATGAGGGATGTGCTTAAAAAGGATGGGGAAGGTAAGGCACACAAACAAGTTTTTTACCCTAAAGAGGAGCAAGTACTGAATCAGGCTGGTTCGGTTAAACTGCTGTTATCAAACTACATTTTGATAGTGAGATGCCAATAACAAAGAGTCCCCGCTTAAGCTAATCACAGCGAACGTGGTGGGTAGATTTTTGTTTTTTCCATCCTCTGTCCTCAGAATGTTCTCTAGTTGGAGGGTGAGAGGATGTGTTTCCATGGGCACGACTTCAGAGTTCACTGGGCAACAGGTAATAGACCACTCAGGCTTTACATTTACAACAGACCTCACATGCCATCCTTTCAGTATTAGTCCCAAATGGGGTTATTACAAGCAAAACAAAACATCAGAGCTTTTCATGTGCAGTGATAAAGGGATTAAGAGCACTGTATCCCCGTTGTCTAAACAGAGAGAGAAAAGGCTTTTAACTGGACAATTCACAGCATGCGACTGCTACCGTTGCCTCTGGTTTCTTCACAAAAGAGAAATGGGTGCTGCGGTGAATAAATGTGATCTGGATGTGTGAGTCATGATGCCTGAAAGCCTCAAAACAATGTCCGAAACACGGCTAGCTCAGAGGTGTGAAGGGACAGGCAATACAACCATTATCTAGGAAAAGAGAAGTACCTCAATTAAAAGAAAAAATGTAAGCGGGGATGAGCAGTGAAAGTGCTCATTCACTGATGTTGGTCCTCAGTTTGAAAACAAAAGCTAGTTTTGCCCAACAAAAACACAGTTCATATAAGTGCTCAGACCTCAACTGCTCCATGGAAATCATCAGAGTTGAATTAAAAGCAATCTACATTTACAGCAGATTTAATAAATTGTTTTTTTCTGGTTTGCAAAATCTGAATTTGTTTCACAACTTTTTTGAGTCATTTTGTGATTCCGACATATTTCAGGGCCGATTTTCTGCCAATGAGTTGTAAGTGTAATTGTCTCAATTATAAAAGAGCAGGTTCACTACTTCACTGCATGCGCGAGGTCACACGTGCTTTAGAACTGAATGCTTGTGTCAGTGGATTTGTCTTTGAGTGTTAACTGAAAAAGAAGGTCTTTTGTTGAAGTCGTCTTAAAAATAAGAGTCAACTTTGACCGCCTCCGCAATCCAAAAGTGGGGATTTCATTGCTTGAAGCTGCCGCGTGAAGAAAAACTCACATTGCGGCTGTTTTTCCCTCCTGCACTGAATCCGGCATCTTCAGCGCACGTGCGCGACCCCTCACTCTTTTCTTTTCTGTGGCAACCATTGTGCGGACAAAGACACACATCCACAGCAGAGCACTTGGACAGATGCTCCAGACTCTGTTTGCACGTGAGGACGATTCACATATGCACCCGTTGTTCTATGCCCTGACACACACACACACATATGGGGCTAATAACACACACACACCAACATGAGAAGCTGCCCCCCCCTCAGCCTTGTACTGCGGGGGGGGGGGGGGGGACTATTGTGAGTCAGCTCATCACATGTCACCATATTTACAGCTTGGATGCAAACTGCCCTCAGATTTCCCATGCAGTTAGTTTATACATATGATATATATATGTATACTTAAATATATAGATATACTTGAAGAAAAGATAAAAATATCATACTAAATCACTTTTTTTCATTTGTAGATATTTTATGCTTTGAAAATGTTCTCCTATGTTCTAAGAGGTTAATATCCCAAACCGTTATTTTCAGATCTTTGAGTAGCATCTTGAACAAAAAAGGCAATTTTAAATGTACATTGATTATTTCTAAGCGATACTGGTTTCAACTTTCATTACCTCGTCTCTGAATTTTCGGGGACTTCAACACTGAGGTGGAAATTAAAGCATGTCATCTCCGAAGGTGTGAAGAGCTGCTTGTCAACAGCCCCATCATCCAATTAGTCATTATTTCAGAGCGGCATGGACACAATAATGGAGCAGAGATTAAGGCCTTTGAGCTGGCGGCCTCTCACGCAACCCGATGACAGAAATGAAAGCAGACACACAGAAATGCACCTGCCAGCAGAGAACAGGCCGGCTGCACAGTGAATGCTTTTCCACAGGCTCAAGAACTAGGGGTCAATATCTTTTAATGGAAAAGTGTTTTCACTCATTTTCTTTACTTTTCAAATGACTTGATATACCTGGCAACACTATATTGTTCAGGAATTCAAATCCTTTAATGAATACATAGTATAATCCTACAGAAGGAGAGCAAAGCCTGTAATAATTTCAGTATTTTGTCATTCTATTCTCAGTGTAGTTTTAATAATGGGGGACATCATTCTAATTACCAAAAGGAACAACAGATTCAATGCTCTCTGATGGCCAGCAGAAGGAGGGCTGTGGACAGATTTACCTCCTGCAGCAGAACAAAGAAAGCTTGAAAACTGATCATTGCCTGACCTGAAATGAGAATGGAATGAGATATGGATTTCATGGTTTCCTTGTTTATTCTGGCTTTAGTCCTATGTAGAAAGCACATTTTAAACAAGTTTCATATTCTCAGCCTTTGATTATGCTTCGACCAAGAAAACTGATCGAGTTCAGGTTTGAAATAAGTTTGTCAGAAATATCAAAAACTAAAAATGCTTTACAACAAACATGCATTAACCAAATAAAAAAAGTTTATACGAAGTAAAAAATCCCTTCAATGTAAGTGCTCATGTATTGATGTCACTAGTATTTTCTTATATGCAGGCTATAAAAAATATTTGACATTATTATTTAAATGGAGATATATAGAACGATACTTTTCTAATATTTTTCTAATATCTTTTGCCTGTATTACAGTAATAAAAACATATGAGAATTGACAACAAACCACAAGTTGTTTGTGATTCTAGTGTCCTCTAGTGTTTGTTACGGGGTACTGCATATGAATGATGAGGTGTCTATGATGGTGCTGTTTTGTTTTAAAAATAATGTTTTTGGCCGTGTTTCATAGTGCTTTGGTCCAAAACAAAGATTTTTCCTAAAGTCAACTAGATGGTGACAACATTCTGTTGTAATGTGCTAGGTTTATTCATTTATGAGGTCAGGGTGAAAAGGAAAAAGAAACACTCATTCATCCCAGTTACTGAAATGTTAGGTTTAGTTTTTACATTATTTCTGTATCTAACCATAATTTTTCAAGCGAGCATCAGCCCAGATACAAAAATCAGGTATTTTTCTGTTTTTTCTGTATCGAACCACATTACGTGAATCTGATTGGAGGATATGTCAACAATGAAGGGATGCAAAGTATTCTCAGTGCTTACTTGTACCCCCCCCCCCCCCCCTCTTTTAAACAGGCAGGCACAATCATATACAGATATCAAAATAGATGAATGTGATTAAACCTTTTATTTTCAACATTATTCACATGTAACCTGTTTGTTTTTTAAAAAAACAGTCAAGCTTACAGACAAATCTGGTCAGTTCATTCAGAGGAACTCTCAGAGCCCGGGCACTCGCATATTCAGATGTGACCTCAAAGACAATGCAAGGAAATGGGAAGCCCCCAACTCGAAGCCTAAACTTCCAGAAGTTTCCCAGAACAGTAATGTGAAAGCTGAGCTAAAGGTTCTTTCTTTAATTCACCACTCGGGTCCTGGAGAACAAATTTTGGTCACCTGGGACGAAGAAAAGGTGAACCTGAGATTATGGCTGAAGGTAAGGCGAAACAGCAAACAGCTTTTATCAGGATAAAAACTGTCAGATGTAGCACTGTGATGGGACTCTGTGACTGAAAATAGCACCAAAAGGAGAAAAAAGTCAATAGATTATGACGATGGTAACTAATGTTTGTCTTTCTTTTTTGATTTTCACTGGTCTAATTTTGATATGATAGAAATTCAACTTCGGGAAAAGAAGACAAAAACTCTGCCTCGGTCGGATGGGTGTGGTCTGTACAACTTTGACGGTATGTGCTTTAATTCTTTCAGTTCTCATAAAACCATGCGCTCGAATTATGACTAATATTATAAAGGACAAAGGTTAGTGCGTCTTATCCGGGCTTATGGGCGAGTAGCATTTTTCATACCCATGCTGTGAAAAACCTTTGTCTTTAATCAAACAAGTACTACACTTGTTGCAATTGGATGATTTAAAAGTAAATTTGTATTTTAAAGAACATGTTTTTCTGTATTACCTGTATGTATTACCAGATGTATAGAGAATTTTCTCATCTAAAAAAAGTTCAAAATAAAATGGTAATAGGATTTCAATTGAAAAAAGATTAAACTTGTTATAGAATTCTCTACTTACATTTTCAAAATTGTGCTTACTTGAGTGAAAAGTGAATCCATTCATAAAATTACTTTTAATTTGAAAGTTTGGAGGAATGTGTAAAAAAATGGATGACAACAGGGAAATATCTTAAACAGCATTTAATATATTGAATAACATATTCAATTAAATGCCCACCTCCTGATTGGTGCATTTTTGCCTCCTTCACACCAACACGGATGTCCATGAATGACAGTTGTCATTAAAAAAGCCACAGGTGGTGTCATGGTTTAGCCTAAAAATGGAAAAACTGAGCAATATTCCACACGAACGCTTTAATTCAAAATGTCTTTGATAAATTAAATACATTTTTTTTCTAATTCTGTAACAAAAATAGTAAGTCAAAACCTTTTTTTTTATACCATCGTCCAGTTCCATCAGTTCAGATTATCGACCACAAATGCTTCTCACTGAAAGAAAAAAAAAAATCACCTTATTTGTGTAGAGTCCTCATTTTGGGTCTGTTGTGTATGTCACAGCTCTGGATTTGTCCGGAGGGCTGAGGATCGTCCTGGTGGGCAAGACTGGCTCGGGAAAGAGTGCGTCGGGAAACACCATCCTGGGGAGAGCGGCCTTCAGAGAAGACCCCAGCCCAGTTTCTGTGACCAAACACTGTGAGACGCAGAGCGGCGAAGTGGACGGGACACCGGTCCAAGTCATTGACACTCCGGGGCTGTTCGACACAGGCATCACAGAGGAGGAACTGAAAGGTAGGATAGAGGAGTGCGTCAAGATGTCGGTGCCGGGCCCCCACGCCTTCCTTCTGGTGATCAGGCTCGGCGTCAGGTTCACAGAGGAAGAGAGGAACGCCGTGAAGTGGATCCAGGACAACTTTGGGGACGACGCCTCCATGTACACCATCATGCTCTTCACGTGTAAGGACCAGGCCAAAGCCGACAACGCCCTGAAGGAGTGCAAAGAGCTGCGGAGGCTCTCCATCACGTTCGGGCGCCGATACCACGCCTTCAACAACAACGACGCCGAGGACCGCGCGCAGGTCTCGGAGCTGGTCGGCATGATCAAAGAAATGGTACAGGACAACGGGGGGAAACACTACACCAACGAGATGTACGAGAAGGCCCAGAGGAAGCTGCGGGAGGAGGAGGAGAGGATGAAGCAAGAGGAGGAGGAGAAGAAAGAGGAAGAGAGGAAAATGTGGGACGCGGAGAGGGAGAAAGAGCAGAAAGAGAGGGAAAAGAAGAAAAAAGTTAGGAGAAAGAATATACGAGTGGCCACAGCCGCTGCCGTGGTCCTGGTGCTGGCGGGCGTGGTCATCGCCGTGGGGGCCGATTTGACCGTGGCGTTGGCTTTGGGAGCTCCTGCACTCGTTCTCGGGGTGCTGTGTGGATTTTTTGCCATTTCTATATGGAAAGGCATAAAATGCAAGCCTAAAGCCAACAGCCCTGTGTAAAAACTAATAAAGCTTAATTAGACCAAAACACTGTTTAGGACTACATAAGTATTCATACATCTTGGTCTTTTCATTTTGCATCATGCGTCTAAAGTTAAAACAATTTAAACCAAAGTAGCTGCGAAATATGTGAATATAGCGTTGATGGTAAACAGGAGGTATGAAAGGTATGTCTTTTTTTGGTTTATTTTCATGACATTTATTGTTTGAATGTAAGTTATACTTGAATAAATATTTGATTCGTCACACGAAAAAGGTTCGCTCCTTGTAGATAATGCCTGAACACTAAACATCATTTCCTATGATTTCCAGTTTTGACTGACGTCACTATCTATAAACACTGGTGTCTTTCTTTAGATGGTGACGTGCTGTTTTCCCGCACTTTATTGTTAGTTGCTTGACGAGCTCAAAGGAAATGGGAACCAATAGCCAGCATGCACTGACTGACCACATACACGAGGGCAGCTCAACTTACTAACACTGGAGGCAGCTGCACCCTCCGACAATTGGAAGAAACCAACTTTAAACCAGTTGTTTCAGTCTTCTGCAGGAATGCAGAGACACACATCCTGAATCTGAATCCTTTTCATACCAGTATCTGTTTTATTTCGTGTTGAATGCTTGTAAAATGCTATGTGGGTGTAAACGCTTTGCTTTTAATTGCTGTAAAACTGTCTTAGATCACTTTGCTTGCTTCAACCTGTAGGAGCTGCAAAGGAGCACATCAAGCGTCATGCACACACACACACACACACACACACACACACACACACACACACACACACACACACACACACACACACACACACACACACACACACACACACACACACACACACACACACACACACACACTCACACATATATATATATATATAATCTTTACTTTAGTTTTTCGGCATCAATATATCCGTCTTTCATTTTCAAAACTGCGAATGTTGGTGTTAGGATCATTAGGTCTACACAATTAGTTCCTACAGGCCATTCTGATGCCGGCTTAAAATAGACATTTACATTTTTTAAAAGATTTAAAGCAGACCTAGATAAAACCCAAATAGAAAACCAAGATACTAACTTCACATGACAAGGTCTTCTAAGCTTAATATGTAGATGTATTTCAATATGACACAGCATATTATGTAGTAAATCCCAAAATTTTTTAAAAATGTACTAAAGGAAGGCTTGGGTTCTCCATCCATCTTGTAATAATACAGTCTCATAGCATTTAGGGTTTTTTTTGCAGCAGAATTCCTAACCGGGGTAGGAAAAATGAACATTATTCCAGCAGTTTTAAGATGTGGTTGCTTTATTAACTCAGGTTCTTTACAAGGATAGATATTGTGCATAAAAATAAAACAAAAAAATTCTTAAACTGGCTTTTTTTTCCTAATTCGTGGAGATAAAAGTGAAGAATTTATATTTTCTGACAGATCACATTAAGTGGATAGACATTCAGTGACTTCCACAATCTATTGCGGGTATATTTTTTTCTTGGAAATAGATATAGAGACATTCTCATCAATCCAAAATATTTTGGTGTCATAAGAACATACAGAGAGAAACTGGAAGAAAAAAAAACATCATTGATAACTCAGTTTGTCATCTTGAAAAAGCAAATAACAGCTACGTCAGACTTAACACGCGCAGCAGGTAACTTTACAGATCTTGTTGCTCAGCATGACTGTCAGCTTCAGCTCCATTCCACAACCTGACAGCGATAGCAAAAAGTGAACCTCCGATCATCAGCATGAGGCGTCTGTTGAATATCCCCTCACCAAACGCGGGAGCAGTCGCCGTTCCTGGCGGATGGGGACGCTCAGAACCCCTGTTTCGCCACCACAGCTTCCTCTGGGCCTCCTCATAGATGTTGCTGGTTAAGTGGCCCCCGTTCATTTCCACTGCCATGTCGATTTTTTCCAACAGATCCGCAACCTGAGTGCCGTTCTTCCCCCAAGCGTTGTCGAACACAACATACCCCGCTTTGCATTCCTCAGTGAGCTTCTTCAGATCAGCGTTTCTGTCCAGATAATTCTCAATGGTAGCTTCCTTTAGCACATCACCCCTGGTGAAAAGCACCAGCGTGTACTTGGCCGCCTCTTCACCAAAGTTTACCTCGATCCATTTAACAGCATTCCTCTCTTCCTCTGTGAGGCGTGCATCCAGTCTGATAACCAGCAGGAACACGTGTGGACCTGGGAGAGACAGCTCGATACACTTCTCTATCTCTCTTTTCAGCTCGTCCTCTTCGATCGACGTGTCAAAGACCCCCGGGGTGTCGATGACGCTCACAGTTCTGTCCTCCATATGAACCGTTTCCTTGGCGCATGTTTTAGCACCGGCTGGAGAAACATCTGCAGCAAAGGCTGGCCTTCCCAGGACCGTGTTCCCCGTGGCACTCTTTCCCGATCCCGACCTCCCCAGCAGGACGATCCTCACGTCTTTCACGGCTGGATTGCAGCAGAAGAACGGATATTTGAATTGAACTGGATCACCAGACATTGGCAAAGGCAACAGATAAAGCTAACCGAATCAACGTACTCACCTCCAGCTGAGGGTGATGCCATCGTGTATGTTCTCAGCACTCGGCCGCGTCTCTAGTCATATGTCCGTCCTTATTGTTTGTGTGAAAACAAGCTGCCACAGCTCATTTCTATGAGCCCTCATGGAAATATTTGGGAACTTTGCACGTATACGGGTACACACAACCTGAGGATGTTTCTTGTAAATTCAGCTTGGTAGGTTTGTTTTTCTTCTAAATTGAATGTTTGGCTGTAGTGCAGTTTAATGTCACGCAGTCCCAGTTCGAACCACCATTACTGATCCTCATTTTTTCTATAGGTGAATTGCATGATAGCTCTATGAAACATTATTCAAAATTCAACATGAAATACTGGAGTGCTGTCAGGCCCTTTCTGTGACAGGTCCAGGATTACAGCACTGCTTGTCAATCTGCTCTTAAACCCCCCCCCCCCGCCCTGCACCCATTCTGCCTGCAGTCTGACCTTTAGTCTTAGCTAAGTAGAGAGGTGTTGGAGTCATTTAAAAAGGAAACATCACCTTCCTGATGATGCAACTGCCTCCTTGTCTGGGGTCCAAGATCAACTGTTGTCTCCACGTGTCACCTCTCGCTTTCCGTGACAATGGAAGAAGTTAAGGGTTTTAACTTCTAACTCAGATTCTCTGTTTTGTCCCTGCTCAGCTCCACTTACGAATCTGACTTTGAAACAACTTTCTTATTGATGAAGTCATGCAAAAGATTCCTTCTATGCTAAAGAAAAAGGTAGCACCATGCATGAAAAAAACCTGTGTCCACAATTTTTTTTACCTGTTCTTTAATATTTGCAAAATGGAATAAATGTTTTGAGACAGATTGTACAAGAATCAACCCATACGAATACTTTCACACAAGTGCATTTTTGCAATATTTCCTTTCTGTTTCCAACACAAAATCCTTCAAACAATTCGAGTAAGTAGCATTTCATAATCTGAGAAGATAAGATTGATTAAAGAGCAGTTTAGTCAGTCGTGGTTTAAAGAAGATAGAATGATTGTTGCATGTCTGACTACAAAGATTTAACTTTTTTTCAGTTTGTTTTAGGTTTGTTCCACCACCCGACAGCCATAGCAACCATTGTGGTTCCAGCCATGATCAACTGATTTCTCATCCCCCCACTGAAAGCTGCAGCTCCAGCTCCAGCAGCAGCTCCAATCACATAAGGACCTGATTCCTTAAGCTTTTCTCCCATGTTTCGCCACCACATCTTCCTCTGGGCCTCCTCATAGATGCTGCTGGTGTAGTGGCCCCCGTTCATTTCCACTGCCGTGTCGATTTTTTCCAACAGATCGGAGACCTGAGTGCGATTCTTCCTCCAAGCGTTGTCGAACACAACATACCCTTTGCATTCCTCAGTGAGCTTCTTCAGATCAGCGTTTCTGTCCAGATAATTCTCAATGGTAGCTTCCTTTAGCACATCACCCCTGGTGAAAAGCACCAGCGTGTACTTGGCCGCCTCTTCACCAAAGTTTACCTCGATCCATTTAACAGCATTCCTCTCTTCCTTTGTGAAGCGTGCATCCAGTCTGATAACCAGCAGGAACACGTGTGGACCTGGGAGAGACAGCTCGATACACTTCTCTATCTCTCTTTTCAGCTCGTCCTCTTCGATCGACGTGTCAAAGACCCCCGGGGTGTCGATGACGCTCACAGTTCTGTCATCACGGTGGGTGCTCTTTTTTACACTGGTTTTCGTCACAGAGTTTGGAGACATCTCTGCTACAAAAGCTGACCTTCCCAGGATGGTGTTCCCAGTTGCACTTTTTCCCGATCCCGTCTTCCCCAGCAGGACAATTCTTAGGTCATTTACAACCGGAGAGCAGGAGTCTGTAGAAAAAGAGATGTTTTCATGAATACTATGAAGTCTTGGGTTATGTATCAACTCACCCCAAAAGCGTGCGTATCCAATACATAACAGTACAATACTTTCCTTTTTCTGAGCTTAACCCCATCATGTTGCGAAGAGAAATAAATACTTTTAAAACACAAAAATATTACTGTATATGTCTGTAGCCTGTTTGTCACTGATCCCTGGGTTTCCGTGTTCTGTGTGAGAAGATAAACTCCTCCTTCTTTCCCTCCCTAATTCAACCAGTGTGCTTTCCAGTGAAACGAAACTTAAAAGAACGGCACACGAAGGGTTAAATAAAAGTCACAGTTCCCCATTTGGATGCGGACATTTAAATCTCACCTTCAGAACTTTAGGAAAAGACTTGGCATCTCGCTTCACCTACAAAGTCTGATTTTTCTTATCACCAATTTGTTTGTTTTTCTTAGCTATTAAAGCTTTTAAGTTCAAGTTACAATTGCCACAATGTCCTTTCAAACCATTATGTTGCTCCAATTTGTTGCACACAGACAAAATGGATGGATAAGACAAAGGATGTAAATCAATGTAAAAATGAAAAAGAAAAAGAAAACACTGTACATATTTGATGTGATGCAGAGGCCAAAGAGAAAAAGCTGGTCTGTGGTCTGGATGATAAGTGGTACTAAAACACATCTGCACTTTGATCAGTTCAAAGTCTTTTTTTTTTCACAAAATGAACTTTACTTTCAGAGGCAGATTTCCTTTTTCCTTTTTTCTTTTTTTTAAACTAAGGACATTTTAGGATTGGTTTGTGTTTGGTCACTTTCGAATTGTACTTTTACACTAAATTCATGTAACTTATAAATAGCTTTTTATTTTATTTTTAGAATTATACTAGTGCACTGGGCCCCTCCTTACTCTCTGTTGGATTAGATACACGTCTTTAGAGGACAACACACACACATTTCTTATCACATTTCAGTGGAATCTGCATGAATCAGGAGCTGGCCTGCTCACGTCAGACGTAACTGGCCAATGAGACCCTGTTGCACTTTGTCCAGACGTTCTATTGTACAGGGCAGGCCGAGCCCGAGAAGATAACTGTACATCACACCCACAAATGAAGTCTCTTTGTGATTGAGTTCCTCAGGGAGCTCTGTCTGTCTGTCTGTTTATTCTCAGGCTTCCAACAAAAGAATCAGGCTAAAAGATACATATTTAGGATCCACCCTTCACACCACAGTCACAAACCAATAATCTGATCCAACTACCCCCCCTTGTTTCATCCTTTGCTTCCATCTGCCCACTCCAACTCCATGAGATGACAACACAGTGGCATCCAACAGCCTCTGTAACAAAGTGGTCTAGTGTCCTTGTGCTGTCATGAAATTGAAACTTTTTCTGCATAACTGTGCTGTGTATGTGTGTGTGTGTTTAGTATGCAGCATTATCCCCCCCACCACCTCCCAGTTTGAAATCTATGGGACAAGCTGCCCAGTCATAACAGAACAGACAACCAGCCACTCGCCTCTTATGGATTCACTGCACCGAGAAGCGAACCACGGACACACCGAGAAGTTTGTGGACGTCTAAATTTCAAGTAGGTTTTACAGAGGTTTGCGGGAATGACAGAACTATGCAGGAACTGCTTGAAAAAAAAAAACGATTTATCTGCCTAGAGACATGAACTAATTGATTCCTAATCAAGCTGAAATTGCTCTGTGATGAGATCATTTTGCTATAAAAAAAAAACGATTTCTAGTCTTTACAGGATATCGAGGCGGAAGGGACTCGTCTCAACGGCTCCTAATCCCTGGACATCTTGCTGAGTGACCGATAACCTCTGGTTGGAAAAGCTTTCATTCGCCTGTGTGTAAAAAAGACGCAAAAAATCTGTGACTAGAATCGGTTTCCGTCGGGGAATCTCCTGCGGTGAGCATGGCGTCGACTGGCCTCCAGCTGCTGGGTCTGGTGTTGGCCGTGCTGGGATGGGCCTTCGGGGTGCTGGTGTGCGCCGCTCCTCTGTGGCGCGTGTCCGCCTTCGTGGGCGGCGAGCTGGTCATCGCCCAGATGTTGTGGGAGGGCCTGTGGATGAGCTGCCTGTCCCAGACCACGGGCCACATCCAGTGCAAGACCTACGACTCCACGCTGGCCCTGCCCACCTCGGCCCAGGTGGCGCGGAGCCTCAGCGTGCTCTCCCTGCTCCTCTGCGTTCTGGCCCTCGTCCTCGGGGTGGCGGGGGCCAAGTGCACGCACTGCATGGGCGACGGCAACCAGGCCCCCAAGGCCCGCCTGGGGAGGGTCGCGGGCCTGCTCTTCATCGTGGCCGGCCTTGCCTACCTGACTCCCATCTGTTGGACCGCCTACACCGTCATCAGGGACTTCTACGATCAGAACGTGGCAGCGCCGCTGAAGAGGGAACTGGGCCCGGCGCTGTATCTGGGCTGGGGGGCCAGCGTGCTGCTGCTGGTGGGGGGCGCCCTGCTGCACGTCGGCTCCTCGGCACCCGGGGGGAGAGCGCTGCCGGTGTTTGGGGGAGCAGCGAAGAAAAGCTCCCGCCCGGGGACAGCAGGAGAGCTGAAGCAACCGGACAAGTCTTTTGTATGAGGTCATGTCATTAGATTTGGAAAATATACTCAAAAAAGAAATGAATCGCAGATGTTCTATCAAAGGTAGAGCTCTTACAGGCTCCAGATGTTTATGTAATGACACAAAGTTTGGATTTTTTTTTGTTATGTGAACACTTTTGCACTTGATTAATACCTAATGCTTACACAAGGGTTTCTGATTTTACAGGCAGGGTGTTTTTAATCCACTGTGATTTTGCTAAAAGCGAGAGCAACAGCCAAATGAGAATATGACACGTGTGACATGTTTGACATGATAAACCTCCCATTTAACTTTACTTTAAAGGCTTTGTGTTCGGGAATGAGTTGAGATTAACCATCTTTACGTGCTTACTAATAAACGCAACGTGCATTTCTCAGATTCCAGTCCGCCTCTGCTTATGTGAGTGTGTGCTTGTGAGTGTGTGCGTGGGCGGTCTGTGTACAGAAGGCCAGTGTGCCCTGAACATCTGTGAGCGCTGCTCTTTTCAATGGCACGGGTGGGCGGCTGGAGGAGATTTTGTTTTTTTCTGCCTGCATGTTTTCCTGATATAATGTTGTTAATCATTCTTAAAAGATGACTTTACCTCTGTTACATAAACTGTAACGTTTACAGTTTTGAGGAACACTGGCAAAACTTTCGCAATTTAGAAAGCAATCATTTTGTAACATTTAGTGTTCCTAGCTGTATTCTTTGATAATAATTTGTCTGTCAAATATTTAACTGGACTCACTATAAAATTGTATATATAATTCTAGTTGCTCAAAAGTTGGTGTTTGGCTTTTTTATTGTGGACTTTTATCCGTGGTTCACAGCTTCAGACTTCCACGGTTTGGTTTAAAGTTTGAGATCGTTCCAGACATTCCTGATGCCATTTCCTGAAATGAAATACAAACAATAAATGTAAGAAAAGAGCTACTGCGGAAAACAGGACAAGTGCCACTGTGTGACTCAGCATTTGCTCCATTTGATGATACATGAGGATCAATATGATGATGAGCCTTCAAGCTGTCTCATTTTTCATCTACATCCAATTTGTCCATGACACTTTAAACACACTTACGTTTTCAGCATGCTCATCACATCCAAAACATGGGCAACATTGAACCCCGCGTGCTCAACAAAACATGAAAGTAACTGAAGAAGAGGAAACTGCTGCTTTTAGATATGGATGTACATTAGCGAGGATGAGAGCACAATCTTTCCGAACCATTTATTTAAACTGGCAGCAAATTATGTCCCCCCCATAATTCAAACTCGTACAGCTAGTAATGGCAGATATACTCCATGTGGGGGCAACAAATGCTCACTGACTAAAGTAAGAAGAAGCACCATACAGCATCAACTGAAAATTCTAACTGTCATTACTTTGAAATTGCTTATTCATTAACAATGAAATCTTTTCCTAAGAATTTAGAAATGTAAAAGGCTAAACCAACATGGGTTTGATTGAGCTCTACTGTTTCTCTTTTCAAAGAAATTGGGTAAAGATTAATAGTTTTGTCACTTAGAAAACACTTCCTGTATTCTGTGCCTATTACGATACACAAGTGAGGCAGTGAAACAAGCAAAAACTTTACTACACATTAAATTGCTTTTGGTAAAGGAATTATAGCTGAGCTGTATAATTATCAGATGTGTCAGGAAACGTCCATTAGTGTAATTAATCTGCGGTGATACATTTTTTAGTGTTGGGTTTTGATTCGAAAGTAAAACACTGTATTTTCACTAGTCATAAGATGTTTTCTATTTATTTTATTAGGGAAATCAATCAAAAAGGAATGGAGAAGAACAGCAAAGGAACTGATGCCTTATATCATTCCCACGGGAACCTAAATGGATACTGTACTGTAATTAAACAAGCCCAAATCTGTAACAGATTTTGGGCTTGTTTAAGGCCACGGGGCAGAAGCCTGCATGCAACGACCTGCCTCACTCTGCTCGGAGTCGGAAGCTGTCTCTCTTTCAGGCACAACAAACAAGACCATTTCAACCCTTAACTCTTGTTGTGAGCAAACATGGCCATGACCGTGCACCACCTTCAGCTACATTATGACACTTTGATGAGAATGAACACATGAAACATATAAATAGGCTAAGGCTACGTCTCACCCCAGCTTTCAGCAATACCAGTTTTACAAAATGTAACACTTTTGTAATCCAAAACTAACTCTGGGCCTTAGTTAAAAATGTATCTGAAGAAAGAGCTGTAAAAAAAAACATGACCTACTAAAGCTTAATGAGTGTCAGAGAATTGTTTAACCAATCAGGGAATATAGTCACCAGTGTAGCTGTTCTGCTGCAATCGCTGGATGCAGTCCATTATAATTCCAGAAAAATGACATTTCTTTACCCCGAAGAATACTCCAATTAAAAAAGGTCATAAATCAAAACAGTGTGTGCAGTATTAAATCTGCATAATGGCCGAATGGAGAAAGATTTTTCTTCCTTTCTGTGCTTCCTGGAGCAAGCACCTTGCAGGAAGTAAGTCAACCATGGAATGCCGGAGATAACAACGAACCATTTTCCAAGATAGAAAATCGCAATGAAGTGAAAAATGCACTTAAAATAAGGTATTTTAGTCAAAATATTTCACATATACTTATCAGTGTAACAAATACAGTATGGCAATGTAAATCTATCTCACCAAATTTGAACATCTTGTCTAAAACCGATTACTAGTAGATTTAACTTTAAGATTTTCTATTCATACACGCTACAGATAATAAAGGAGTATTTATAGAATATGATTTTTAGCTATGTATGAGGGCAAACTGACTCAAGAGTTGCACCCTTCACATACTTTTGCCAAAAGGCCTCTTCGAACCAGAGGCCTTTGGCTTATTGCACTGGATTTTTATTTAGGTAAATGTGAAGAAAACTGAAGTTCCCTGCAGCAGCATTAGCACTAACATTCATATTAGGATCAGACATTTGTCGAATCCCCATTAGTCTCTCTAAAGTTGCTGAGGGTGAAGTTTTAGACAGACTTGTGGACAGACAGACAGACAGACAGACACACGTTCCCACGAAATCACCGAATAACAACCCCTTTTTTTTTTTTTTTCGAGAACGTCGACCGCTGCCCTCTTAAAGAGACAGTACTACCGGTTAGCCTCTCCACAACAGCACCGGGCATTTGTCTCTTTAAAACGGCACGATAGTTGTGGGTGAATGTGGAGCACGAGAGTTTATTCCGTTTGGGGCCTTTAGATTCTCAAAGTCAAGTGTCGACCTTTTGGATTTTCCGGGCTCCAGGCGGGGTAGGCAGTGGCTCGGCGCGCGCTGACTATTGGCTCTTCTTCTTCGTCTCTCTCACGAGCACTTCCGTCCGCGCGCGGCGCATCGACCCCTTACGCACGCGTTGTGGGGCGCGAGCGTGTGCGCGATGCCGCCGGAACCCAAAGTCCTCCGTCCGCGACGCAGCCTCTTATCGGAGTGTGTGTGAAGATTAACGAGCCGTTTTTTTTTTTTTTCGTCCCCCCCCCCGTGCAGACCGCTCGCGCTCTCGCTCGCGGACAGCAGGACCCCGCTGGCCAGGGAAAGCAGACCGCCGGCTAGAGGAAGGAAGTCCCCCCGCCACCATGACGGAGAAGCGGATGTCCCGCTGGTATTTCGGCGGTCTGGCGTCCTGTGGGGCCGCCTGCTGCACGCATCCTCTGGACCTGCTTAAGGTGAGGGGGCCGAGGTCGTGTGCGCGCGTGAGCAGGCTCGAGAAACCAAAACACAGCTGTGTCCACTGGCACCAGGGGACGTGTTCCAGTGCAGGAATCCACTTCTCGCACAGATGGATAGTCAAATCCGCCCGTTAAAGTAGCACCGAGCTTCAGCTTTTCTCCATTTTTTTGGAGGTATCAGATGTCCTGTGTGGGAATGGAGATCTACTCCGATAAGAGAAACTGGTGGAATGTAGGGCGCAGGTCAGTTCAAATGGACACGTGTCCATAGTTGTAGGGATATAATAGAAAGCTGAGGCGGATTTTTTTGGATTTGAGTTCACGTGATCAAGAATCAGGTGAAGTTCTGCAGAAACTCGGAAGCTAACACAAGGCCTGACCTGTCTGTGGTAGAGCTGACCTCTCTGCACATGACCCCACGGGGCTTCATGAGGTCATGTGGGTTGTAATTGTCCAGGGAAGGCCAGTCATCAGCATTATGCTGTCAGCTGGGCTTCAGAGGTTCCAAACATCTGCCCTTTTGCTTGTTGGCAGCCAGTGCTATATATAGTTGTATTTTTCTCATTGCACGATTCAAAATATGTATTGTCCAGAGGACAAAAGAGGACACTGTCCAGAGGGGGAAGTAAATCAGCTCTCTCGAATGCAGTTATATGTGAACAGGTGTTGTTTAGATGCAGTGCCTGGAGAAATTTTAACTTTATTTTTTACTCCTCCGCTGCCACAGATGGTCTAAAACCTCTTAACGATAGCACGATTGAAACTATTTTGCAGCCATTTGTTCTGAAAACCACCATTTATTTAGTGATTTATTTATTTTTTTTGCAAACAAACTTTAAAGGAATGTAACACTGAACACATCATGCATACAAAGAAGCCAAAGGACGCGTAAAAAGTACAGCGTGGTCTGTTTGTTGCGACACCACAGCCAGACACATGGCGACTTAGTAGCAGCGGCGTACAAAGTTTAGCTCCTCACAGTGCGTCAAGGCTGCTCAGCCACATTCCATTTCTATCATCTTGTGTTCGCCCAGACATCCAGCGCATCATCAGATACGCTCGTCATGCCCGTGGGTCATCCCCAGCTTGTCAAACCTTTCCTGAAAAAGCAGGTTTCAGACTTGAACTTCCCAAACTTGCCCTTCACATTAAAAGATCAAATGAGCAATTTTCTCTTAGGATTTTTCTAAGTTTTCGTTCAACACCGTCATCAAAACGACCAAAGACCTGCAGATGAAACCACACAAGAAAACTACACCGATCCAGTGTAACAAAGCTGACACAAATCAGTCATTCTGAGAGCATTTTCTGAGCATTTGGGGCTTTAGCTTTAGCCTCCCAGTTCATTTGAATCTCCTGTCTTATAAAATCCTATCTGCACTGTGTCCTCTCAAATATGGTCATAAGCTCAGAATTCTGCAGATGGAGGGATGCTGAACATCCTATATATTTATACAGCTTGGAGTCAATTATCCTGCATAGCTACGTCCATTTTACCTAAGATTGACTGTATTATTGTACCCTCAGTGGACCTTAAGTGGACTCAGAAAGAAATCTGGTGTATTATCGAGGACTTTAGCATAACTGTGAAGTGAATGTTTAACTGGGCTCTTGTGCCATGTTGAAACCAGAGGGCTGATGTTGTCGTTACGGGCTCCATGCTTTTGGAGGCCCAGAGAGGTCAAAGGTCACATTGTTGAACTGCTGACCGCCTTCAGATAAAGACACCACATTGTTAAACATTAAGAACAAATGCACCAATGTATCCTCCTCCCCATTCTCACTGGAGCCGGCTGAGTGACACTATGGGACATCCATTCATCTTTTCCCCTCTCTCTCTCTCTCTCTCTCTCTCTCTCTCTCTAGGTCCACCTGCAAACACAGCAGGAGGTGAAGAAGAGGATGGTGGGGATGGCCATCCATGTGGTGAAGAATGACGGGGTGTTGGCTCTTTACAATGGTCTCTCCGCCTCGCTCTGTAGACAAGTAGGTGTCATTAAGCCTGATGTGATGTCACAGCCGTGTCTCGGTTTGCAGGGGAATAACTCCACCTGAGGAGGTGGAGGTGGGGGGTGGCTAGGGAAAGAGAGCACTTCTTTCCTCAGCCTACGCAGTATTTTTCTGTTACTCGCTCAATGAAGCAAAGCCAAGCATTAGCCGTAACGGCACCAGAGAAGAACTCTGCCCTTAAAATCTTATTTTTAGTCTAATCTGAGAAAGAAAAGTAACATCAAAGCCCACAAAAGTCTCTTGAATATGTCACTAATACCTTCTTTCACACGCCTGTAAGCCATATGTGCTATGCTCTTACCATGTTCCTGTCTCTCCTCCCAGATGTCTTATTCCCTCACCAGATTTGCGATCTATGAGACAGTAAGGGACATGATGGGCAGCAAAAGTCAGGGTCCCATGCCCTTTTACCAGAAGGTCCTGCTGGGAGCCTTTGGAGGTGGGAATTTCTCTCACATACTTGTTTCCCCCCCCCACACACACACATATACACTGTACCTGATCTGACTTTTGTGCCAACCGTTTTCTCTGCCAACAGGCTTCACTGGTGGATTTGTGGGCACGCCGGCGGACATGGTCAACGTCAGGTAAAGCACCCCAACAACCATGGCCTGAAAAAAGCCATTTCTGAGTTCACTTTTTGCACAAGTCGAGTGGTAGCGAACAGAACTGTTTTTGCCCCTAGGATGCAGAATGACATGAAGCTACCAGCGGAACTGAGGCGGAAGTAAGTGTCGCAAACGCTCATGTCCAAAGAACGATTGAGCCTTTCTTATTCGTTTAGCACGTTTAACAATGTGGGCTCTTCCTCTAGCTATAAGCATGCGGTTGATGGTCTGTACAGAGTCTTCAGGGAAGGTAAAACAAAGCCACAAACTCCCTCATTGATTTTCTTTTTAAATCCATGTTTGCCTCATGCCGCTATCATGTCTGACATCTGATCTCTGTCCTGTCACGCAGAGGGTCTCAGAAAACTTTTCTCAGGGGCCTCCATGGCCTCCAGCAGAGGGGCGATGGTCACTGTGGGTCAGGCAAGTCTACTGCTAACATTTATTTATGACTGTGCTTCTTTGTAGGGCTTCAGAGGTTTAGACTGATTAATATGAAAACCCTTTAAAAGGCAAACCCAGTTTGATATTCCTCAGCCGTTGTTGTTTTGTCTTGGTCTGTTTGGGTTGAGGACATTTTGGTTAGCGACCTTTGGACAGGGCGTGTTGCTAATTCTATGAAGCTGCAGCGGTTTCAGCCACTGACCCCCCCCCTCTGTTCTTTGTGGACACACGTCCAGAATCTGGCCGCAGCAGCGCCCTCGCATTGGGCTGCCTGCAGGTGTGTAGCTGTGACCCGTGTTTGAGGACATGATCACACTTCAGCAGCTGACAAATCCCCTTTTTATTTCTCCCGGTTAGCAGTTAGCGTTGCAGCACCGGCGCTCACAGAACGGAGCCGGCATGGCAAAGTTTGAAGGCTGTGCCTCCAAGCAGAGTCTGAAAATAGTTTTCTTACTGCAGGAGCACACCTTTGGTCAGCCAAGCAACTGCTGGACTTTTCTCTTTGGCCGTTTTCCTTCTTGTCGCCTGCATAGAGTCAAGTTCACGTGTTCAGTCTCCTGCTTGGAATAGACGGCACTCGGCGCTCTTTCGGTTTGGAGAACCACAAATGAGAACAAAAAATAGGTTATTCAGCAAAGCAGTAAACCTGATGGCTCACGAGTGCCTGACACAACCCTTGAAAAAAATAGGACTGCAGAAGTAGTGTAGGAGGAAAAGTCTCACGCTTAGTTTTTACCGAACTGAATGAATGGAAAGTGTTTTGTTTCGTGCTTTCTCTCACTGTTTTCAAGGTGCTGCTTGAATATACTGACGCACTGCTCGTACTGGATACTTTCAGGCAACAGCAAAAAAACTAAAAGGGGGGCAGATGGATAAAGGATTGGCTTTTTTTCAAATTTTTTTACCTTTTACTTCTTTGCAAACTGAAGCCAAGGGGCAACTGGACACGTCTAATTGTGTGTGTATGTACACAGCATGCATAATTCCTATGGGCTTACTTCAGGTCACATGCTGCTTTACTTCGACACTAGAGGGAGCCAAATATTAATGTGTAAAACTTTTACACATCACTGTTTGGGTGCATGGCTTTAGTTGAAATTCACAAACGGCGAGCCATTGCCTTATGATGTCTGCGCCTGTTTTACAGCTGGATTTTATAAGCTTTTGAAAACAGGAGCCAAATCTCTGATAGCTGATTGGAAAGCAGGTTGAGGTTTGTACTACTAAAAACCTTCAAAAGGCTTTCTCAAGAGTGTTATCCGATGCTTTCCGTCTGCAGCTGGCGTGCTACGACCAGGCCAAGCAGCTGGTGCTGGGCACAGGCATGATGGGAGACAATATCCTCACGCACTTTCTGTCCAGCTTCATCGCTGTAAGTATCTTGCTTTTGTTCTTCGCGCTCCGAGTTTGGCCGGCGTGGGCTACAGGAAACCGCCTTTTTACCCGCTCATCCCGGCCCGCGTGAATTCTTCCTCCGCAGGGCGGCTGCGCCACCTTCCTGTGTCAGCCTCTGGACGTGATGAAGACCAGGCTGATGAACTCAAAGGGAGAGTACACGGTGAGTGGATCGTCAGATCCTCGCATTCTGCCGTCGTTTCTCATGGCGCCGGTTGAACCAGTTTGCCTCTCTCTTCAGGGGGTGGCGCATTGCTTGAGAGAAACGGCGAAGCTCGGCCCAATGGGATTTTACAAGGTATGAAAAGTTCTGCAAGCAAAGCACGAAACATAAACTCAGGACCTGCTATAAAACACGGTGGCTACCATTATGCTGTGAATTAGAGGCATGTTTACTCGCTTTTAAGTCAGAAAGTGCACGCACTGTATTTTGCAAATGTGAGGTTGTATAAAAAGCAACAGTGGGGTAGTCATGTGGGGCAGATCACGTGACAGGCTGAGGCTGTTGCAGTGCGTTTACGGCTAAACGGGATGCAATGCTCATTGTGTTGCAGGGGCTGGTTCCCGCTGGGATCCGCTTGATTCCCCACACAGTGCTCACCTTCATCTTCCTGGAGCAGCTCAAAAATTACTTCGGCATCCGCGTCGTCTCCTGAGCTGCTGTTCAACGTGATTATCGTCGGTCTGCTCCTCACCATTAGCTAAAAGCGAAGGGAAGAAAGGAAACATGAAAGGTTCCTTATTGTTGTGCGCATGCTTTCTTTCTCCTTTTCCTCTACCTCTGTGTCACAAGTCCAGGTTACATGACATTGATCCAACAGCACCAGCTTCTGTGATTAGTTTGCCCCTCTTAGAATATTTTTGAGGATGAATGACCCATGTATTAATGAATTATTAATGTACTGTGAGTAGCTTATTAAATTGGCAGGTGTTCCGGTTCATTGCCGACATCAGGCAGGCTTTGCCATGTGAATGGCAGCATTGTATGGCTTGATTGAAACTAATTCCCAAATCCAATGCTGTAACAAATGCTGCATTTCAACATTGCACAAAAACAGAATGTAGCTTAAGCGTCATCTCTTTTGCCAGGTAATACACGGCATCGTCGTATAAGAAAAAGGAAGATGGACGGTCGGTACTCATTAGTTTTAAACAAACCCTGCAGAGTTTTGTCATACGTGTCCACTCTATCACTACGGAAGCAACTCTGAAACTGCCGTTATGTATCAATACAGCAGTCATTCCCACCTACTGACCAAATTTCATGTTGTAACCTTTTTTTTTTTAAGAACTGGAAACCAACCACTCGCTGGTTAAGATGTCGGTAATTTTTACCTGATCTACATTTCAACTGGGGGAGAATGGACCAAGCTTGCTTGAGTCAAGCTATTAATTATTATTATTGAGCAAGGAGGAAGTCTGTCGGCGAAACTGTGAAACAGAAAATGCAGATTGTTTTTTTTCCCTTTGCTGGCTAAAACTTATTTGACCATTTCATCTCAAAAGGTTTTCGTTGAGAAGCTTTGGAAAACTGCTGTATGTTACAAGTGTCCTGCTTCCAGCTGCGATGTCTCTTTTTGGTCTTTTTGGATGTGAGACACTTTATTGGAACAACAAGACAAAAAAAAAAAACGGTACTCAGACTGAATAACTGGGCATTTAAAACGCATAAACGCATGCTGTATGTTGGGATTTGCTCTAAATTAAGAATTCTTTGGATTTCAAGTGTTAATGATTCCTGTTAATGATTTTTCTCGGTTGTAAGTTGTCCTGTCACGGTTTAATTTGGGTGGTTATTAATGCTGTACTGTGCCTGCTCTGCCTACAGACACCTTGATAAATCATGTTGCCTTACAGTATCTGTCCTGCAGGGGACAGTGTCACAACATGTGAATTATCCTCATTTTTGCACCCTCTCCTGTCCTGTTTTAGGACAAAAAAATCTCAACACAGCTTCACAGCGCCACTTTCGGCCTGTATGTTTCATATGCTCTTCACCAACACATGGTACTGTACTTTAACTCAGCCATTAAGTTGCTAATGACTTTATACCCACATACACACACACACATGAAACTGGAAGTTTAATTTTGAGCTAGTTGTCTACATTTTGTAGATCTCTTAACAACTGATTTTGGAATTAAAGTACTAATTGAAGCTAATTTTGTGTTTAAATTCTTTCTTTGACTTCTCTTTAAGCAGTTGTGACCATGCTTTGATGATGATAGTTATCTTTTTGTGTTCATAAATCAGGTGCATACTCGGTGGGTCTCATAATAGAACAGAGGGAACTTATTCTTCCTCCTTTTTGACTTTGCCTGCGATTGTGAATCAGATTGTAACTTTCAAAGCTCTGCCCTCATCAACGCAAGGACACAATTTAATGTCCTCACCTCTTCACCACTATCTTGTTTTGCGCAATTATGGCCCATATACAGTTACACTGAAGTTAATTGGAGTTATTCAGGCACACTGATGAATGCAGGCAGTTAGACGGTGGTACTTTACCTAGATGAACATAGGTTTTCATCCCTTTTATTGATACCGTCCATCATATCGGTGACTTTGACCCTTCAACTCCATCACACATGTGAGAGCTTGCCTTGTTACACAGCCAGCTCATTTCCATAGCAATCCAGATTCCCATCTTTTTAGGGCTCTGGCATATGTGGCCCCAGTATGTTTCTCAGGAATGATGTTATCCACACACAGGAGCCATCAAACGACTCAGGTTTGCGGCTGATTAGTGTTTTACTGGGTTATTGAAAATACAGCTGTTCAGGTCTCTGGTTTGTTGTTTCCAAATTATTCAGTTCTGACCTGCACAGATAAGGTGCTTAGCTGCCTGCCCAAGAATGCAAACGCTCTGTTGTTGCAGATTAAGATGGCAGCAAGTCTTCGTCATTGCTAGTTTTCACCATTTATGTGGCAAAAACGGCATTAGCTCATTTTACTGAGCTGTCAGGTTCAGACTTATACTGATCACCTCCAGCTCGTTCATGAGACAAACTGAACCCGTTTGCACACCTTGCCTATAGTACTTAGGGCCGGTTATCTTTAAGATTGAGATTTTTTTTCAAATAAGGAAAGAGGGAGGTTTACACATGCTTAAGTTAATGTTTGAAATGGAAAGAAAATCCTATGGGAATTTAAAAAATGTACAAACCTGGAAATGTAAAATAATTATTTACAATACAAATAGCAGTAAAAAAAAAAAAAGGACACTAAACAAAAAGAGTAATAATAAAAAAATCAAGTAAAAAAAGGCAAAAAAAAAGTTATACATACACAGAAAGTATGTATTTTCAAACTAACATTTTCACTGACTAATCTCTATAGTCTAACTCAATAAACAGCTCTTTATTAGCAGAGATTATGTCTGTGTTTTAATTAATGAACCAAAACGCTCCGCAGACGTTGGTGACTCACTGAGTTATGTGGAAGCAGTGGCTGCCGTTAGATTGAGGCGGTTTTGCTGAAAAATCCATTTCCATAATCGGCTCCCGGGGCTTCGGAGCCAACTTTCTTTATCAGTTTTTTATTTTCGCTCGCTCTGATGCTGCTGCCTCCACAGGTGGCTGAAAACTGATTGCACTGTCTCAATTAAACTCAGAAGAGATACGGTATAGACACCGATGGCTCGAACCTTCCTCAAGAACCAGAGTCAGCTCTGTGCCCTCTTGCCGGTACAGTATCTCCAGTGTTGTGTTTCTGGGACTGCACAATGTTCAGGTAAACAAACAGGTGCCTTTAATCCTCTATCTCTTGCAGGTAGAGGATATCTGAAGCAGAAAGGTTCCGGCATCTGTCTGTGTTTTCCCTCCTTTTTCAACTGTTCCTTCACACTCCTCAGTAATTCCCTGCCTCCCTCACGGAAAACCCTTCTCATTCATGTTGAGCAGCTATTTCAAGTCTCCAGAAAAATGCTACATGGGGTTTTCTGAGTCTCGGGCCAGCCGTAAATATGAAAACGATACGAAACTCCAAATTTATTCACGCAACAAGAAGCAAGAGAAGCTGTCGGAGTGCATTTCCATAAATGAGAAGTGTGTGTGAGCTTTACAGATGAATGGATTAAATCCAACGCCTGTATGGAGGCTTGGATATAAAAAATCCTTTCTTCAGCCTGGGTCTGACTTCTGAATATGCTTTCGTACGATTGGATAGGTTGATAGCACTTTGTTTGATCATTTTTTATGCTCTCCACTGACATCTTAGTTGTAACACGTGTTTTTGAGAACGCCATCTTTCACCTTGAACATAAATTAAACTTCAAGGAAGAAATACAGTCGGTGCGCGGTTCTCACAATCATCCACCTTGCCGGTCGAACAAACATTTGTCACACAAGGACTGAGGCGAAAAAAAACACACAAAAGCACGGGAGGCGAAAAACAACGCACAAAAGCCTGTGCCATGTGAGTGTGCTTGGAGGAAGATGGTTAGAAAAGCTGTAAAAAAATTGTTAAAAACTTTCTTCATCACCCACTTAATATAAGCAAGAGTGCGACTGAACTGTTTTTCAATGAATCATAAATATTATATTGTATATATTATAAATATTTCACATTTATTCTATCTAATTAAGCAATTTCGAACACGGACACACTTCATACTTAAACAATGTAAAGATTTAAGCAAACAATACATCTCTCATAAACCATATTTGTGTGGGTGTTTATTGTTTTAACAACTAGTCTGACATCCAGTATAGAAATGCAGAACATCAGAACCTTTTAACTTGGAATAAAGAAATGATAAATAAAAAGAAATGATAATAAAAAAAAACAAATCAAAATTCGCAATATATCAAACAACTTCATCATGTGTTACACTAAATGGACCGCTTACTGTGCGGTCACTCTGCCTCTGGCCTGCTCATCAATAGCTCAGCTGATTGGCTGGAGCAGTGAAGGATGCTCCGACTAATTTAATTTGAAAAGCTCCCAGTTTGCTTTGGCCTTTTGTCAATAGAGTTGAAAATGATGCGACGATTTAATCACCGCTGTAGACCAACCAATCTCAATCACACAAATGGCTTTTGTTTTTTCTTATTACACGTGCTAGCTGGTGCCTCCGGTTTATTCTGAAGGTTTTACCAGTCACCGTCCTGGAATAGGAATGCGCAAACCTGCGTTGGAATGTGCCTTTGATACGGAAGCCTCTGAAGGGGGCGGTGTGGTGGTCAGCGCTGTTGCCTCAGCAGGCGGATCTCCTCTGGGGCCTTTCTGAGAGGAGTTTGCATGTTCTCTCTGTGTCTGCGTGGGTTTTTTATTCCTGGTGCTATAGCTTCCTCCCACTGCACAAAAACACGCACTTCTATAAGAAAAAGGCCACCTTAAAGGACAAAACACATTTTTTGTGCTAGGATTAGTGAGATAGAATTCCCTTCTCTCACTTCTTGGGTGAGTGGACTCATATTGAGCACGTTGTTTGAATGGTGGCATAAAAAGGAGAAAAAAAAGAAGATGGAACATCCTTTGAGTTTGAATGCTCGTGGTGGGTAGGCAGAGGTAGGAGGTAGAGGAGATTTCTGATGAGGCTGTTTAGCCAACAGGAAGATGCCGAAGAGGGCAGGAGGAATCAAAGTCATTCCAGGATCAGAACAACAGAACAGAGGAGCGCTTCAAAGAATGGACTGATTGCTTCAGAAAGTTAGCAGATAAGAGGACCTTGTAAACACAGTAGTGGTAACAGAATTAGAAAAGTTAGTGTAACAGCATAGTCTAGCATAATTTAAAAGCCAGAACACAGAAGCATGAGACCGTATTTGAGGACACATGCTTACTTTTAGGCTGATTGTGGAGAAATTGTGTTATTGTGGCTTGTTGTTTCCATTGATGTGATCGATGACTGGTCCAGACACTTCATTCTTTATAACATTTAACATATAAGATCAGATCCCACATCTTGACTTTAAACTGGAAGAATTTGTTATAGAAAGAGTTTATATGTAAGCTTCCACTGCCTTTTTCAGGGGTACCATCTTTACGCGTCACCTTCTCTATTGGATTGTGTTTTTAATTTCTTCCTTGTGTCTAAACCTTTGTTCTTTTACCAATTATTCAGAAAACATTTAATGACTGCATTGATTGATGCTGCTGGGTTGAGGGCTTTAATATCGTTTTCTATTCAATACTGTTTATTGCCTTTTACCATAGGAGGCACTTCCTACTGTTTTGAAAAAAGATATTCAAAAGAAGTCTGCAATTCAGATTGATGACTCAATCAACTCAACATGTGAGCTCTGCACACCATAAGTTTGCGCCTTCTGCACAGTTTCCCTGGAAACATGTATAACACGCAGAGGTCAGGCACTCCAGGCGAAAAACGGCTAACCTACACACACAAATCCTTTAGCTAAGTTCTAACTGTGCTGAGAGCTGGAACTTTATCTGCTTCCGTAAGCAGCAGCATAATCTACCATGTTATAACTCTGAAAATCAAAGTATGTACATCTTCTCTTTACCCAATCGGACCCACATATATATACACTATATTGCCAAAAGTATTTGCTCACCCATCCAAATTATCGGAATCAGGTGTTCCAATCACTTCCATGGCCACAGGTGTATAAATTCAAGCACCTAGGCATGCAGACTGTTTTTACAAACATTTGTGAAAGAATGGGTCGCTCTCAGGAGCTCAGTGAATTCCAGCGTGGAACTGTGATAGGATGCCACCTGTGCAACAAATCCAGTCGTGAAATTTCCTCGCTCCTAAATATTCCACAGTCAACTGTCAGCTGTATTATAAGAAAATGGAAGTGTTTGGGAACGACAGCAACTCAGCCACGAAGTGGTAGGCCACGTAAACTGACGGAGCGGGGTCAGCGGATGCTGACGCGCATAGTGCGAAGAGGTCGCCAACTTTCTGCAGAGTCAATCACTACAGACCTCCAAACTTCATGTGGCCTTCAGATTAGCTCAAGAACAGTGCGCAGAGAGCTTCATGGAATGGGTTTCCATGGTCGAGCAGCTGCATCCAAGCCATACATCACCAAGTGCAATGCAAAGCGTCGGATGCGGTGGTGTAAAGCACGCCGCCACTGGACTCTAGAGCAGTGGAGACGCGTTCTCTGGAGTGACGAATCGCGCTTCTCCATCTGGCAATCTGATGGACGGGTCTGGGTTTGGCGGTTGCCAGGAGAACGGTACTTGTCTGACTGCATTGTGCCAAGTGTAAAGTTTGGTGGAGGGGGGATTATGGTGTGGGGTTGTTTTTCAGGAGCTGGGCTTGGCCCCTTAGTTCCAGTGAAAGGAACTCTGAATGCTTCAGCATACCAAGACATTTTGGACAATTCCATGCTCCCAACTTTGTGGGAACAGTTTGGAGCTGGCCCCTTCCTCTTCCAACATGACTGTGCACCAGTGCACAAAGCAAGGTCCATAAAGACATGGATGACAGAGTCTGGTGTGGATGAACTTGACTGGCCTGCACAGAGTCCTGACCTCAACCCGATAGAACACCTTTGGGATGAATTAGAGCGGAGACTGAGAGCCAGGCCTTCTCGTCCAACATCAGTGTGCGACCTCACAAATGCGCTTCTGGAAGAATGGTCAAAAATTCCCATAAACACACTCCTAAACCTTGTGGACAGCCTTCCCAGAAGAGTTGAAGCTGTTCTAGCTGCAAAGGGTGGACCGACGTCATATTGAACCCTATGGATTAGGAACGGGATGTCACTTAAGCTCATATGTGAGTCAAGGCAGGTGAGCAAATACTTTTGGCAATATAGTGTATATATATATATCTACTTCATGATTATCATTGTATTTTTGGGATACTGTACAACACCCATTGAACGAAAAAAAGTTGATTTCTTTTCTGAGGTCAGATGGAACTAACCCATGTGGTTTCATCTGACAGATGTATACTTGACTTAGTCAAAAATTCTCTTCTGCTTATAATTTAGCATCACTGTTTTAAGCAGTGACTATGTCACTGGTTTCCCATCTCATTTATATAATTTACTTCGGCCTCAGACATGAACTAAAACTACTTGGTTGAATAAAAAAACCCCAGAAAACATCTGGTTCGGATTATGAAGGAAATTATTATAGGATTAGATTAAACGAAATCCGGCCTTTAGACACTGTTAGTGAGCATTTAGCCTGATCTGGTTTCCTGGAAAACGTATTTTCCCAAGGCTGTTGTTGACATGATTTTTTTTCACTAAGTAATTTCCAAACACATTCTCTTTTCTTTCTTTTTTTTTTTTTTTTTAAATAAAAGTGCA